AATCATGTTTCTCTCATTATTAAAGTGAAGGCTTGTACAGCTACTTACACAGCACTGAAGGAGAATAAGGTTTCATGCTGCAAAGGCTATAGAAGGCCACATGCCTTTTGTTTATAGCATAGAGGATACTTTGCTTGGCTTTTATTAAGAGAGAAAACTAATCCAAAGTTGCAGTTAGTTGGGCTAGCATGTAACACTGGCAACTTGTCCACGAGTACATAGGAAAAAGTAAGCATTTATTTTGCATATGTGATCATAGCAAGAGTAATATTGATTGTCCTTTTGTGTCCTTCAGTTTTGTCCTAACATTTGTGCTATTCAACTGGTTTTGATCAAACTTGGCGTGGTGAAGAGAGCTCTCAAAGACACAGTGCTGTTTCAGGTGCCATCTGTGCACTTGCCTCCCTGCTGCCTGCATGGTGCAAAGGCAGAGGAGGTTTTAGCTGGGTCCCTAATCCCTGGGAAGGCAGCAGCACATGGAGCTGGCACATGGAGCTGGCACATGGCACGGTGTGTGAGCCACAGCAGCGCTGTCCCCTGCCCAGCCACAGGCTGCTGCTGAGGAGGCTGCAGGGGATGATGGCTGAGTTGTGGGGTGGCTTTGCCCTGGGAGCTCTGCTTCTGTTTAGGGTAGAAATTTACAGCAGGAGGCCTTGTTCTCACAGCCTAAGATCCTGCTCTGTGCTCTGAGTAACATAAAAATAGCAAATAAGGTTCTGCAGCTCTACCACTGAATAGTTAACTAAAACATGTAATGTTTGACTGTAGGCAATTAGTGTTACACTGTTAATGGTGATTCGGTTTTTACAGAGCTGAAAATGATGTTTGCAGGCTTGGAGCCCCAGTCACCTAGCCTTGTAAGTTAAATGGAAATGAAAGAAAAGTGACACAGGGACTAGGCTGGAGGAGGGATGCTATGGTTGCTTCGTTTTCTTGTCCAGAAGAGTGTTTGGTTTCCTAAAGGATTACTTTACTTTGGTTTGGATTCCATGTTGGTGTGTGCTATACCTGAAGGATCAGGGCATGAATTGTTAACTCATAGCTTCACTATTTGGTGGAGAGAGTTTTTTATCTTTTCTCCAAAGTTCAGTGTTTCCTCTGTCAAACTTTTACTGTTATAGGTAGTTGAAGAACAAATGAAGTTGAAATGTGAGACATTTTCATGTCAGAATTGTCAGATGTTGAGCTGAAGGAAGTAGGTTTCTTATCTCTAAAAAAATTGATTTCTCTTAAAAAAGAAAAGGAGTTTTTTAATTCTAGAGTTGCATTCTTCATTTTGTCCATGATCTTAAAAATGAAAAAGGAGGAGGTAGTACCAATGGCTACCTATGGCAGTCATGAGGCATTTGTTGAATGTATAGAGTAACATTTGTTCCATCTAACGAGTGCTTATAGTGAGTGATTTTTAAAAATAGGATTGGAACAGGAAGTTATCTTTATATCCATCTAGTCTGTCTTAGGTTTTCCATGTAGGTATAGATGTATATTTCTTCATGTTTTCAGGTTTATAACTGAAAAAGCAGTGGGCTTTTGACAACTCTGTAGCATTCCTGCTGTTTGAGTGTTTGCATGTATCTATATATATTATGGAAGAGTGTAAACTTTATAGCCTTATGTAAATTTACTATCTTGCATTGTCTGAAATTGAAATTTTTTCTCTAGTGGTTACTTGGAACAACCTTACTAAGGCTACTTGGAACAATAATCATCATCACTTAAATATAGTTTTACAGATTTAGTAATATGCATCTGTGTGTGTGTGAAAACATGTCATTTTATGGGAAAGAGTGGAATTTTTACTTTGGCTTTTTTTTAAATTTATCAGCAATGCTGAAGACATCTCTCTTGTTAAGTGGCATAAACTAGAGCATGAAACAAAGCAACTTTTAGTGATCTAAACAGAAATTAAATCATGATTACCACAGAACATTGATATGGTTCCTAGGTGTACAGTGTTTGTACTTGGGGGGGGGGCGTTATGCTGTTGCTGATTTTAAATTCCTTGGGAGAGTTATTCTGGTATTTGAGCCCCAAAAGAGCCTTATTGCAGTTAAAAATAGGAGGAGAAATTCCATGTCTCTCTTGGACTACAGAATATTTAATAATTAACAATTAGTTCCTTTTCTCATTTTTTTTCCTACAGTCATGCTAGCTTCTGCTGTAGTAGCTGCTGCCAATAAATACTGTAATTTTAAAAATCAGGATTATTGGAATTGCAGTTCCTGTACACCTTTGGGCAATTAGGAAGTGATTAGCAGTACTTTCTGGTATTGAAGGTTCGGGCTGACAGCTATTGACCCACTGATGAGATGAGAACAGTGGCTTGACAAAGGATCTTCAGAGGAACTATTCCTCTAAATGTCACTGCTTAGTTTTCCAGTAATGCATTGTGATGATCCAGTTTTAAAGCCACACTTTCTACCTAGTGTTCACTAAAGAGTTCAGTGGTTCCATTTTCCACCAGCCTTGCTTATTATTGGAGATGGAAAAACCTCCCTGGTGCAGTTACTAAGACTTTTGAAGTACTGTGTGTTTTTAAAATTTTGGTGCCCCAGAATCAAGGAGGAGGTTAACTGCCACTTTTTTGCTGTTTAGAAGTACCTTGGTGTGCTGTATTAAATTAGGAACTGAAAGGTAAAATTGAGATGCAACACTTGGTTGGTACTGAGAGAATCTTCTCAGGCAACTCAAGGTTCAAAGCTGCTGATGTGATGGGTTACACAAAGGCTGCACAAGGCCTGCTGTGACCATAAAGAGCTGTTAGTGCTCTTTGCCTTGTAACATTTCTTGGGAGTATAATAAACCAAGCATCAACAAAGCCATTTGACTGGGCTAGAATGGATTTGTTATTTATTAGTCAGCCGAGCTGACTGGAGAAATTGATTTTGATCACATTTACATGAGGAGAAACAAGAAGTTTCCTTAGATATGGAACAGCAATGGTGAGGCTGCAAAACAGTGTATTTTAGCAAGGAAGTCTGAACATGTTTTAAATTGCATTTGCTGTTTTTCATGCCTAGGGTGTTGTGGTAGTCTTCAGCTTCACAATAATATTAAACATATGGGAGAAAGGAACATACTGTACACTGTCAACCCCCCTCCTTGATTACAGAAAGATTCATTTTGGTTGTGTCTCTTGGATTATGGCAAGCATGAGATTGAAATGGGAATAACAATATTGCTTGTATAACATATTGATACTGAAAATTAATAACCAACATTCCATCATGGAGATGGCAGGGTTAGGGTTCCTTGTTTTTGAGGAATTTAGCTTTGAGTTTTGCATTTCATATATTCTGTGAAAAGCATTTTTTTTATTTCTAGCTGAGTATGTATAACTTCTGTGACAGATCTCAGCAGGACTCCAGAAAACTTCGATGCAGTTTGTCAGATATGACTTGTTCTGGTTCCCTGAGGAATTTTAGCAGGGATTAAACCAATTTCCTGCAAAACTAGTTTTGGTAGCCATTTCTTCTACTAGAATTTTCAGTATAAGAATTTTCAATTCTTTTATAAAACATATGTGCAAGGATGGCATTTAGATGATGCCAAAGTCCCTGGAACAGTGCTGATGCTTGTTTCCCTCATCATGAGCTTGAAATCTTCTGGTCAGTGCTGTGAAACTTCTGTGCCACTTGGGTAAATGGAAGGTAATGAAATTTAATGAGGTCAGGACTAGTGCTAAAGAGATGCTTTGGCCTTCATTTTACTGATGAGTTTAGGAAGCCTTTGCTGCCTAAAAAACTTGAACCTTTGGCGTTGTATTCTGCCAGTGGAACCCCTTTTATTACTGTAGTATTCTGCACGTGTCTTCTAAGCACGTTCTCTCTAGCATTTCTGTTGTCACTTGGCCCTGGCCCAGTTGCCTCTGTGTATTATTCAGTTTATCCCATCATGTGCTGCTCTTCTCTTTGTCAGACTCCTTATCTTGCTTCTCCTGGCCCAGGCAGCCATTTCAGGGCCAGTAGTAACGGCAGGCACCTGGCTTCCAGTGCTTGCTGATACTGTCTCAGAAATTTCCAGGAAATTCTTATTTCATGGAAATACCCCTCTTATATTGCTGGGTGTCTCTGTGTGTGTGTGATGTCAACAGAGGATGGCAGATGCAAGTCATCATGAAACTCTGGTACCAAATCCATCGTGCTTCTGTTGGTATTCAGGGAAAACAAAGGGAATGGTTTCCCCACCAGTTTAGAGGACAGCAGGTGGAAGGCTTAGTACTTGCATTGCTTCCTGGCATTGCTGTTGTATGGGTGCTGGTTGGCTGGAAACAAACCTTAAAAAAACTGACTTCTTATAGTGGAACTTGTTCTCCTGGACAGTGTAGGATGTGAGTGTAGCTATGGGTTGGAGAAGTGTGAGAATAACTTTTGGCAGCAGCTCTTCTTCAGAGATGCAGAAATTCATTGCATAAACCTGAATTTCAGAAGCGATAAAATTAAAATTTATGATGAGAACTGCATTTTTAAATTTCTTTTGTAAGTCCAAATATTTTCATTTAGAGCAGCAAAATGAAATGACAGTTGAAGTTGTTTGCTGTTTTATTCAGGGTACAAGAAGGAAATTATTTCCTTACATAATAGACAATTTGTAGTTGTTCTTTATCTCTAGTTATTAACTGTTAAGTCACTTGTGTGTCAAACTTCAGTAATAGTCTTCTGAAAATTTCACCAGTAAGTTTCTCCTTTTTTGTGTAATTTGCCTTGGTAAATAAGTGGTTGTATTTAGGGTTTACCACTGTCTTTTACATGATGCACATATTTTCAGAGTGACATTTCAAGGGTTTTTTTTTTGGTAGACATTACAAGAAGACTTTATTATAGCAAAACCTTTAAACTGGGGGCCTTAAAAAGTATAAACCAGGTGGATAAAGACCTCTAATATTTTTTGTCAATGATCACTGAATGTGTTTTGTTATACTGTAACTTTCCAAAATTACCCGCATGGTTGACTATTTTTTTAATATTCCATTTTAGTAATAAATATATCTTTTCTTATAGATAAAATCCAGAACTTGAAAGAAGATAATGGGAACAGTCATTTCATCTATGACAATGCTGGAGACAGTACTAAAACCAGTGCTGAGACCACAGACACTTCTGGATGCAACACTGAAGCCAAGGACTTGCCTGATTCTTGGGACTCCCATGTGGGAAAACCAGCAAATTCTGCATCAGAAACATCTCAGACCAAGGGGCCACTAAGAACTCACTTGTATGAATGGGAGGATGAAACTGAAGACACCAGAACTGGAGAGTATATATTAGCTTTTGACAATGAACATCTCTCAGAGGTGAAGAGCAAGGATGAGGAGTGTGACAAAGAAGATAGTGAAAATCCAAAGGAAGCCATTAGTGAAGAACTTGTGCAAACTATTCCTAGGCCAAGCAACTGTAGGACATATTGTCGATCCAACAAAGCAAAACTGCAGGGGGCAACAAATTTTGACAAGCTAATGGATGGCACTAGTCAGTCTTTATCCAAAGCAAACAATGAGTCAAATAATGATGGGCTGAACGCAGGAAAAAAAGTTTCTTTAAGTAGTGGGACCAGTTTTAGAGGGACGGTTGGACGGACTAGAGACTACACCGTTCTCCACCCGTCGTGCTTGTCAGTTTGCAATGTCACCATCCAGGACACCATGGAGCGCATGGATGAGTTCACCTCAGCAGCCCCCACTGACCTGGGCGAAGCCGGGCGCTTGAGGAAAAAGGCAGACATGGCCACCACAAAAACTACAACCAGGTTCCGACCAAGCAATACCAAATCCAAGAAGGATGTCAAATTAGAGTTTTTTGGGTTTGATGATCAAGACGAGGGAGGGGGAGATGAAGGCGCCTCTAGAAGTTCTGGGAGTTCCAATTACAAAATCAAGTACTTTGGGTTTGATGACTTAAGTGAAAGCGAGGACGAAGATGAAGAGTGGCAGGTAGCAGAAAGGAAGGCCAACAAAAAGAGAAGTAGAACTGTACCATCTGCTTCACTACAGTCAACCTCTGATGGCAATGAAAACTGTTCCCAGGATAGCCAGCTCAGCACTAATGCAGGTCAGTAGAACTCTTTTGGAATTCATGGGTGACATTTAATTTTAATTGACTTCAATGTTGTGTTCTTTTGCAGTGTACCTAGGAATTTGTCCAACAATACTGATTTGGAAACCTAACAGTTAACTCACTTGAAATCTTAACAGCCAAACTTACTTCTCCTGTGGTCCTGTGTGGTGTTTCCTATCTCTCCTGAAGTATGCTTTATACCCCTTGATCTCTTGCCAGAGGTAGAGGGCTTTTTTCTTTTCCAACAGAAGATTCGTACCTTTTTGGTGTGTTGAGCATCTATGCCTAGAAGGCAGGTATCCTCCCACAGAGCCTCCAGATCAGCCCACAATTGCAGAGCTGAGTGCACACATTTAAGTAGCTCTTAAGAAATGGGAAATATCTTTTTCAGGTTTTGAATGTGTCTGTAGGCAGTTTGGACCTTTCTCAGGCTCCATCTTATCTGAGGATGCATGACTCACTGGAAGGCTGTGGGGACCCATGGAGTGCCAGTTAGATAACTGCCTTTGGAAGAGCCTCTGCATATTTGTTTCTGCTCTTGTTTCCAGTTTTTAGGTATCTCCTTCTGTGCAGGCTGGGGAGTGGGGTGTGTGTGTACTCACACACACATATATGAGCGAAACTGTGGACGTGGCAGCTGCTGAGCAAATTCTGGTGGTTAAAATCCTTTGCAAAATGAGACTTGCTTGGTGGTAGGTTGGGTCCTGTGTGCTGGTGAAGAATAAAAGGAATACCTTTGGTGGAAGGTTGCTTTTAGCTCTTCTGTTTTGAAAAAGTCTAATGCCAGAGAATCACTTTTGTTGGAATATATATTTCAAAACACTGCCACTGTTCTACGGAACATTCTGGTCCTCCATTTTGGAGCATGAAGCATGGGAAGTTTTATCAACTCACTGCAGTTGTTACATTTTAAGACTTTGGCCAGATGTATTTCAATGTGATAGGAAGAGAGAGTTTCAGTCTAGCTTTGCAAATGTTGGAGAAGCTGGGGGTTTTTTCCTACAAATAGCTTCTGCTAATATAATCCAGAAATAAAATTTCAGAGGAAAAAATGTTCATTTCTCTGTTCTAATTATAGCTGTTTCTAAAACCAGAATTTTCTGTAAGCCTTTTAATCAAACTAAATGTCACCACTAGGGTTTTTTTTGTGGATTTGAAAGGAACAAATGAATACTGATGTTGTACGAGAAGATGATGTTTTCAAACAAAAAAAACCATGATTTGTTTTCATAAAATTTACTTATGATGAGACACTTGGGTTCCAGCCTCTTTGGAAAATGGGTTTATCTTGCAGGGCTGCTTAAGAAGTACTCTTAGTCCCTGTCTTTAATGACTTCTTGTTCAGCCATTTATTCCAAGGGAAAAATTTGCTTGTACAGTTAATGCAGCTGAGATGCTGACCCATCAAATAATCCTTTCAGCTGCTGTCCTCAGAACTCTCAAAATATCCACGCTTTGCATTTGGCACTGCATTCACCAAGCAGGCCTTTATACTCCCAGGTATCACAGATGTTTTCTCTGAAATATTTTCCTAATAGATTTCCATGGCACAGGGGAATGTAAATTTCTGTTTTGTTAGTTCTTAATGCACTTCTCCACTTCAGGTAAGAGCTACCTCTCAGTCCCTCTGCTGGGAGATGTTTCCCCTTTATTTTGCATTTCCTTAGCTCATTTGATTCTTATGTGCTGCTGTTTGCAGGTGAGATTTGACTTTCAGGTTTTTTTTCTGAAATTTGAAAGGGTGATGCCCTATAATACAGATCATGAAAATAGGGAGTCTGATGGTGCCCTAAAGTTTGTGGAACTCCTTGCTGAAGTTCACACTATTTTTTCTCAGACCTTTGCAAATTTTGAGCATCATGATCGCTCAGAACAACCATGATAAGAGCCCTTAGATGTAGTGATGCTGAGCCTGAGAATGTCTCAAGAACTTCTGAATCTAAGCCTGAATTTGCAGAAAAATGTGACATTGCTCTGAGGTATTGTCTTTGCATACTGGAAGAACGTGACTTCTGCATCCATGAAAAATGCCAGCTTTGACTCCAGGCCTGAGAAACAGCTTTCAGAACATCTTGCACAATAAAACTCTGTCCTGAAATGGTGAACAGTACTGAGAGGTGCTAATGCTACCTGAGTTCTGTATGTGCTGTTCTTTCTTTGTTCTAATGAATAAAGGCCCAGATAAAAATCCAGTGTTCTGTTCCAGGTTGACAGGTGAAATGCCAGACTGCCTCTCTGAATTTCAGCCCTGGAAAATCCCAAGACTCATTTTGGTGTTCCGTGCATAAAGAATGTTAAATGGCAATAATCAGTTTTTCAAGAAACTTGGTGCTTTCTGTCACAGCCTTACTTTGCCATAATACTGATTTGATTACTTGCCATAATCTAGGTGTATTTTTATGAAACAGATTTTAGAACCTTAATTTAAAACATCTGATAGAATTTTTGTAATGGAACATTATAAAGACTTCCTTCTAGTCTAGTAGCTCACAGAGGGAAAGTTAGTTTAACAGTACATTTTTACATGTTTTGACAAATGAAATTTAAGAAAGCGCAGAGACTACAGGAACAATATTGTTAGTGCAGGAAAAATTGAAAAACAGATAAATTCAGTTTTGGTTTGACTCTTTCATTGAAAAACATCTTCTGTTGCTCACTTCTATGGTAGTCTTTTCTGCTGAAGTAGTTAAAAACACAGAAAAACCCTCAAACAAAAGCCAAGCAAATATAACTGCCACCTGTGAAAAAAGCTTCACCTTTTAAATTCCTAGATGCTATTACCACACCTTTTAATGAAAATACTTAACTTTATAGCCTAAATTTTGGCTGATGTGTTGAGTTCCTGGTAAAAGTTTGCTTTTTATTTTGCCATTGCAATTTGAAATTCTCTCAGATTGCTCTGTAGCAGCCCAGTGAAGCAAAGGCCCCTTTGGCTTGTGAGCCTCCCAGCTGGATTCTGCCAGAATGCCAGGGGCTACAAGCACTGGTGAGACTTTGCTAGATTTGAAACACTGCTTTTGTCATTTCAGTAGCCAGAGTACAGGATGACTCCAGTGAGGAGAAGATTTTAATACTGGAAGAAAGTGACTGACTTGAGTGTAGTAATCCATGGGGAGTTGTGTCCAAGAGAAATCTGTATTGCAGCTCAGTCTTTTGCTTTGTAAATCAGTTCTGATCTGCAGCTTAACCTTTGTGTCATCGATTCATTTTTCCTTTCAGTGATCAAGATGAGATTCCCATAATCTTTTTAGGTAATGTAGCTTTTGTATATCAGCATCTAGCACTCAGCTCAGTTCTGGTGAGCCAGCTTGCCCAATTTTTTTTGTTTTTAATTCCTTTGCATCTTCTCAAATACTGAGTCACCTTCATCGGGTAAATATTTTAAACCAGTTAAAACTACATCAAAGTCCTCAAAGGCAGAGTCCTGTTTGGGCTTCAAAACCTTCTGCAGAATTGCCCTGAGACACTAAACCAGAACTCCGTTGTTGTTCCCCAGGAAATTTACTGTGGTTGTTGCCTTGGTTGGTCTTTGAACATCTTTCCAATTCTAGCCAAGACAGGCAAATTATCTTAAAGATTATAAATGCCTTAAAAATGGTTAGACAGAGGAAAAATGGCCTTACATGCTCCCATACTGAGAAAAAAGGTAATATGACCAATTTCTCTGTGAGGGGGCAAAAAACCCCTCCAAAAAGCCATACAGGAGAGAGCCAGTGGAAATCAGGTTCCAGTAGGGTCACTGCTTCTGCTGCTTCACCAAACTACTCCAGTGTTTTCCTCACTCAGTTCATGTTAACAGAAGACTTCTCCCCCAGACCCTGTTTAGTTTAGATTTAAAAGTCTGCTAAGATAATGTAGGCAGAGTGCTTTAAGAAGGCCTTCAAAAGCACTGCTCAAATAGAAGCATTCCAGGTCATCTTGCAAAGCTACTAAGTGTTTGATGTGCTAGCAACATCAGAAAATGCAGAATTATCCTGTTGTAACTAGGAGTTGAATTTTTTTTATCAACAAGTTTCTTTGAATTTAAAATCAACTAATTCAAATGGGACAGTTCAGAATCACATAGAATTCAAACAAGGAAATTTCAAGTGTTAAAATTGTGGCTTAGTTGATCCCAGAGGATTGTTAATCATTATTGAAGGCAATGCCAGATCCAAGTCTTAGCACCTGGCACAAGTTGCTGTTCTCATTTGGTGGGTGAAATATTTTGTATTTCTAGAATGACTTGCATATTTCTACTGGTTGTGGTCAAGTAAATTACTTGTTAGCTTTTAATGTGCACTAGGAGGGTCCAGTTCTTTTGGTTTGACTTTCTTTGAGAACTGCATTCAGGGTCTGACTTCTTGAGAAATATTTCAGGATTTATAAGGATATATATCTAAGCAATTTGATTTTACTCGTTAAATTGGCTTCAGCAAGAACTAAGCTTTCTTTTACATAGATTTGGAAGTAGTTTTGTGTTATTTAAGGTAATGGAAGTTGGTCTGTAGTATTTTTCCTCAGTTAGACTAATTCTATCAAACATCTGTTAAAGTCAGTTGTTTTCAGAGGGGCTGTTGCTGCTGTGTTTGTAGGCTCTTGTGCTCACCTGACACAGCCCCACTGAAAACCAGTGGGATAAAATGAACCAGTGAGAGGCTGGTTCCAGGAGGTGCCTTGCAGCAGGCATCCTGCCAGTCCTGATGCTGCCAAGCCTGTTGAAATTTACTGCAATTTGGGAAACTTGGGAGCTTTATTTTAGGAATAGTTCTATTCCTCAGACAAGTTCTGTACCCTTGAGAATGCCATTAGGAATTTAGTTGCCTGCTTTGCCTTTGCTTACCCTCTTAACCAGCTTGGCTGGTCCTATGTGCTTGGGATTAGAGTAACCCATCCTACCTGCTTGTGTTCTTGCAGTGCACTTTTCAAACAGCAGCAGCTTTTCAGGAATAAATTGGTTTTCTAAATAGATTGTCAGATGAAACAGTACCTCTCTGTTCCTGTCTTTATTTCCATCTTGAAATTTGTGGTAACTTCTGGTTTGTGCCAAGTAATCCTCTTCCCTTGTCTCCAAGGGATAGTGCTTCAAATAAAGCAACCCAAGTTAAAAAAAAAAAAACCTAAGGACAGAAATGGAATTGGATGAGTGAATTGCAGATTTACAGTCCAGGATGGGGTACTGGAATCAGTGGTAATGCAAGTATCAAATCCATTGCAAGGCCATGTCAGCAGTTCCTTCTGGCTGACTCTTTCCTGAGCTGATCACAGCAGAATAAGCAAATACAAGCAGCCTGCCTCCATGAGAAGTGAAACAAGATCAGTTCTTCTCTTCTATAATTGTAGTGTGTTCTCTTAAATCTCTTAATCTCACACTTTTGAAGAGCCCAATCTCCTGCTTTATTCATCTGCTGCTCAGGGTTGTAGCAGTAAGCCAGCCATTAGTAAGCTCATGTAAAAGGTGCCCTGGGATTTAAGGAGTATGGGATGGGAAGCAATAGCCTGCAGCTTACCCAGTGGGCAAGAGGTGCTGTAATATTTTTGATTGTGCACCTTGTCATGCTTCTGTGTATTACTGCAATCCAGTCAGCAAGCCTGAGCTGCACCCAGGACTGTGCTTGGCAGTAAGGCTGATTTTTCTGATGAATATTGATGGTTCATTATGTAATGTCAGAAACTATACATGTGGAATTGTCAGGTGCAAGAAATGCTCTAGCAGTTCAACAGCTTTTAAAATGGTTGTTTCATGTCTATATTTACCTTTAACAGATCTGGAGTTTTCAGAGGATGCATCTGGTGTGCATGAAGGCAATAAGAAATCCACAAATAAACAAGGTGATAAATCTAAGGAAAACACCAGGAAGATTTTTAGTGGGCCAAAGCGGGTGAGTAATAATGCTGAGACCAATACAAAGTTCTTATTTTACTCAACTCCTCAGTATTGATGTTTCTTCTTAGATATGCAACAGGGCTTTTGAGATCATATGTTGGCTTTAATATTATTTCTGGAAAAGTAAAACATTCAAGTGCAATACCTTTGTATTTATTACTGAAAGGTTCACTTTTCAGGTTCACATTACTGCTATGGAGAACCAGGCTTGTAATGTAGATGCATTCCTTGGAGATATTTTTAAAACACAGCATCAGTAAATTCTGTGTATTTTACTTTGTGGTTAGTTGGTGTTTGGGGGGGGGGGGGGGGGGGGGATTGTTTTCATCTCTTTTGTTTGCTCTCCCAAGAAATATCTGTCATATTATAAGATAGAACTTTTCTTGAAGCTTCAAGTTGGGTGTCGGTATAGTCTTTGTAAGGATAAGTGCATTCATACCATTAGGTATAGTGAGATTTTCTTTTAGTTGGAAAAAAAGTAGCCTCCAATCCCATGCCAGTCTTCCTCAGCTGTGTAATATTCAGTATGAATTTGCCCTTTCATAGCATGAAAAGAGCTTATTCATTTTCTTCATCTTACAGAAACGTGGTTTATCTGTCACTATGGGGACTCAGTATTTTGAGGTTTTTAAAAATGTGCATACAGCAAAAATGGAGTGTAGCCACCAGTAAAAGTTTGCAATAGAGGGATCCATGTAATCTCCATTAAATGAAGCTTTTTATGACTCTAATGTCCAGGACAAACATTTCCAATGCTTAAGGACTTCTCATGAGGTTTTTGCATAACTTGTTTGTGTTACCTGGTGACAGCAGTCCCTGTCTCACCATCATTGCAACCTCCAACTGCTCTAGGAGGAGAAAGAGGGAAATGAGCTTGTATTTCTGCTTTCCCTTGGAGTTCCATAGGTTTTGCAAGACCTGGCAGTTGTATGGTATTATAGAAACTGTCTTTTATGTGTGTTCAGAATGTGCTCATGAGTCAAACAGTTCAAAGAAGTTTTTTAAATGATTTTTTCTAAGGAATCCTTATAATTCCTCATGAAGGTAACTAATTACTTGTGTTATATGATAGTTTCACTTGAAGTAATTTTTCAAGGTGCCTTTGTTTTTTTTTGGTCTTCCAGAACCAGAAGATTTATAATCTCCCCAGTTGTGTTGTTATATATCAATTTTTCATTAAAAAAAGGATTTGAGGGTGGAGAAAGGATGACAGATTTGGTTTAGCTCTCCAAACATGCCAGGGAATATTTTCATGTGGGAGGATACGTGACCAGTAGGTCCTGTCAGTTGTGATGCCCTTTGAAAAAGAAGTGTCACGTGTTGCTTTGACTTGGGACACAATGAGAAGCTCCTCCCTCCACAGTCTGAAGTCAGATAAGTGAGGAGGGTGTTTCCACAACTGCAATAGTATTTCTTGGAGATTGAAGTTCCTCAGCTTCTGCTAATTAAATAATCATTTTTAAAATTTTAGCTTCTTATCAGTGAATCTATTACAGTACCATGAGAAACAGAAGTACAGGAAGTGCAAATTTGACTGTAACTTTTTCAGTTATGTATTTTAACAGCATAAAACAACTGTGGGTGTTCTGCTAATAACAGAAAGTTTTTTAAATTTAAATGTTTAAATGCCACAAATATTATTCTGTAATTGCATTTCATGTGTTTCTTGTTTAATTTTTATTCTTTAAATCCCTGAGATTTTATGTGAAAATGGTTCTTATTAATTTTGAATGCATATATAATGAAATTATGGGGTAAGGAATAAGCCTTACAGCAATGTCATACTATAAGAGAGAATAGTTTCAACTCTAGAAAATTCTCAGTTGGGGATACATTTTATTCAAGTGGGAAAGTTGAGAATGAAACAGCTTTTTTGACCCTGTAGTGGTATAATGGACCTAGAAGTAGATGTTGCTGTAATGGAGATTCAGATTTTAAACTTCAGTGTTCTCTAATCATATGGCTGTTACATGGAGTTACTAAAAAAGCTTGTAAAGCTTGTTCTGATGGTAATTAGAGCTGCTATAATTATCTTCCTAAAATATAGCTATAGACTCTATCTTAGTTGTATCTTAAGGGAATTCTCATTCTGGGAATGGAAAAAAAAAAACCTAAAAGTATTAACCTGATGATAATAACTAATGATCTTTAAAAAAAATATCTCTGGAACTACTTCACTGTCTCAGCACCATTTATTTTTTTCTTGTAGGAGCTAGCAGCTACAGTATGAAATATTTTCTGTTAGGTGATTTTCAGAGCTGTGGCATCAACTGAGATGCCAAGAGAAAAGCTCTGTTACTCAGGAAGCAGCAGGTGCTATCATTAAATTACAGCAGATCAGAAAGCTCAAGTATTTTTTCCAGTCTGTATTCAGCAGATCTGTCACCCATGGTTGTAGTTTGGAAAACTTGATCATTGTCTCCTAATGCTAAACTCCAGTTCTTGAAACTTTGAGTCCAATAAAATATTACTGACATCATTGACTTTGTGAATAACAGTGGTTCTAAACATTGCTTTTACTGTAAGGACTGAAATCAATGTCTGGTTGCAGTAGCCAAGGACATTGATAGGTGAGTAAAGTCTCAACCAGAGCGACGCTTTTAAGTGAATTAAACCTCTTTATCCTGAGCCTGAATTATAGGGGGAGTGTTACATTCCATAGCAACATAATTAAGTACTTACAGTACATAAATATTGGCATTGCTTGAGTTGCAAATTATGGGTGTGAAGCATACATGAGTAACATCTGCAGAAGTTTGTTTGCAACTGTTTACAATTTTAATTCAACTGGTTGGGTAACTCATGCTCTAGCATGTCAGTTTGGGAGCTCTGGATACACCCACCTGCTGGCCCCTTTGAGCTTAGTTCTCTTCTACAGATGAAACTAATTCTCCATTAGCAGGCAAACCCAATAGAGGAGACAAGAAATTTTTTGTTGCTATGCTCCAAATATACTGAGACTAAAGACTTGAAAACAGGCAGCATAAAAATTATTTCCTGACATTTCTTGCTCCTGCTGCTTTCACAACAGATTTTAGCTAGAGTCAGCAAATGAAGAGAAACAGTTTTTGTAGGAATACGCTGGAACAGTTTCCTGTGGTCTTATGCAAAATATGTCTCTAAATAGCAATCTGAAAAAAGCCAGCTTAAAAGTGTAAGATAAGGAGGGCTAGTCTGTCCCCAAACTTAACCTTTTGATCTATCAGCCCTAAAAATTAATGATTATACTTAGTCTTTTGTGTCAGTTCAGTGTTTGTGTTGTCCAGCATGTCACTAGGGACCACCAAGTCCTCTGAACACATTTTCTTGGATGGCCCCTCTGCTCTTAAACTCAGAATGTATAATGAGTGATCTGCAGCTCAGTGCTGATCCTAGTTCTGCCTGTGGCCATAGGAAGCCAACCTAGACATGGTGAATATGCATTACCATTGAATATTTCAAGGTAAGAATTTAGATAGAGTTGCAAATCATAGTTAAAAGGTATGGGAGCCTTTCAGCTTGAGGGGCCTGGGAGGGGGCAGACACTGTAATCTTTCTGTTACTGCTCTTCAGGGCTGCTGAGGCATGTAGGAGGACTTAAGGAGCTGCATGAAGGAGACAGAGGAGGTATAACAGGAAAAAAAACCTCTGACTCTCTCAAGTTGGCACAACTGGAAGCAGACTCAGTCTTATGTTTTTTCAAAGTAGCATAAAATTTCAATTAGATGAGTGCTTTATCAGGATTTTTTCCCTATGCCTTAGAGTAGGTCAGTTTTAGAAACAAGTCCTTTGGAATTAGTTTCTTAGATGTTGATACCTTTTGCACTGGGTATATTTCATAAAGCTTCCATGCTACTATAGAATGCAATTTTAGCACATATAAAATACTGAAATTTTCTTGAGAGTTGGAAATGTGTTTTTTATAATTGGTAAGATGAGGAACAAAGTACTCAGTGCATGGTCAGTCTACGTTGGTGATTCATGGCTACTGATCAAGCTAAAAACTAACCTGAAGGCTCATTCTTTGCTTAATGACTTGTGACTCCAGTTAAAATGGGCATATTTCAATTAAATACTCACTTTTGCAATGAAAATTTATTGTTTTTAAATTACTTGAAGCTAGCTTATTTTTTTTTATTATTCTCTTACATTGCTATAGGAGAAATGTCTTTAAATTTCACTAAGTTGAAATCTTAGCCCTAGAAAACCTGTCTGGCTTGCAACTGCACACATTCCCACATGTACCCAGAGAATGGGGATGCATCAGTGGCTTTTTCTTTTCCTCTTGTTGTGCACATATTGGCTTGTACAGGAAAATGTATGGAAATACCTCTTTGCCACTAACTTGGTGTTCATTGTGTTTCTTTTGGCCCATTCCATTACTGGACCACAGAGTTTTCTGTTTGTGCTGGTTTTGGCAGGAATAATTAATTTTCTTCAGAGGAGCTCTTACAGGGCTGTTTTGGGTTTGTGCTGAGAACACTGTTGATAGTGCTAGGATGTTTTTGTTATTGCTGAGTAGCACTTAGAGCCAAGGCCTTTTTCTGCTCCTCATCCCACCCTGCCAGGCAGGAGGCTGGGGGTGCACAAGGAGGTTTGGAGGGGACAGCTGGTCACAGTGACCTAAGGGATATTTCATATCATATGACAATGTGCTCAGCAATATAAAAATCTCGAGGAGGAGGAAGAGGGGACACACCTTTGGAGTGATGGCCTTTGTCTTCCCAAGTTAGACCAGATGGAGCCCTGCTTTCCTGGGAATGGCTGAAAAACTGCATGCCCAAACGACGTGATGGATTAATTTCTTGTTCTGTTTTGCTTGCATTCATGGCTTTTGCTTTCCCTGTGTAACTGTGTTTATTTCTTAGTGTTTTCTCACTTCTACCCTTTGGATTCGCCCCCATCCCACTGGGGGTCAGTAAGCAAGGAGCTGGGTGGGGCTTAGTTGCCAGCTGGGATAAAATCACAGCAGTCCTTTTTGGCAGCTGACTTGAGGCTCAGTGGGTTTGAGATAGTGACATGTTTGATTGGGATGTGCTAGATCAAGCTGATAGCTGTTAGTGCATTTTAGCTGTTAATTGACAGGTGTCTGCCTGCCATGGGGCCCCCTTGCCTTACTGTGTGGCATGGCATTTGGCTTTCGCTGCTTGCTGTGCCTGGGAACATTTTGGTAACAGCACTTTTTTCAAGTACTGTTAAAGTTTAGTACACTAAAGTGGCATTGCTTGAAAGTTCCTCCACTAGTGTGAACTGCATTTGCCAGGAAAAGCTGAGATCTTCTTAGATTTACAAAAAAAAACCACAGTCCCAAACCCAACACAGCCCCATCTACTGTAAGGACTGAAGGAGGCAAACAATACTCACAGAAGCACATGGTTATGCTGCTTTTGTTCTCCCTTTGCTTGACCAGCTCCCTCCTCTTTCCCTGTGCCTTCAGTTTCCCAACGTTGTGTGTTACTATAAAAATTACTCACTAAAAAGGAAACATTTAACATAAATCTTAGTCCAGTTCACTGGGAAATGAAACTATTCTATCTACTCAGTTGAGGGGACCCAAGAGGAGAGATTAAGTCCTCTTAACCTGGTTAAGTCAACACTGCAACTGAGAAATGCTCACTAAACACAGCAGCATTAGCAGGATTCCGTGCAGCACTTTGATCAAGTGATGTTAGTGGGGTTAGTCATGACAGAAGTGTTGAATATGTGAATGAAGGCATTGCTGAATTCAGACATGGCTTAGCCAACAGACTGCTGCTGAACTTGTATCCAAGAGAAAAACTTGAGCCAGTCATAACCCTGTAACTACTGCTTTTCATATTTTAGTCAAGTTTTAGGAATAACTTCTGTGACCAACAAAGTACAGAAATTTGTGCAAGATTTCCAAGTGTGGTCTTTGGACAGGTAAGTTGGAAGGACATGTTAAATCAATACTGTGTAAAGAGCACTTATTTCCAGTTACCAAGTGCTGAACCAGGAAGAAATATTCTTTTTTTCTGCTGTGTAATTTCAGTCTGATCTGCAACTAGTCCTTAGTTCATTATTGAAGTGCATCTTTCTGATCCTATAGGCAGGTTTCTTTTCCATGAGGAGGTCAATTTCATAATGGAAAATAAAATACTCCTGTTACAAGGTTAGGCACTGTCAGAAACTGTCAATACCTGAAAAAAAACTTAGGTGTGAGCCTTTATTTCTGCTAGCATTTGTTGTAATACGTGTTTTAAGGGTATAAGAGATCTTTTACAGTTTCATGGGAGCTTTCTCCACTGGTGTTTCATGCTGACTTGAAGGAGCTATAAATACCAGATAGAAACAAATGCTGGGTCTAAGTAAACTAGAAGTTGAAAATGAAAAGCTTATACCTCGTCTTTGAAAGTATTTTGAAATTGGAGAAGTACGAACCCGTGCCCGCTCTGGGCTGGCTGTGTAATCTCAGGGCTAATGTGACAATGACGTGTGTGTGGGAGGGGACAGAAACTAGGCTGCACTGTGGTCTGTAGTTTTCCACTTAGCTTGTGTTGTACTGTGCAGCAGATGTTTATCAAAGGCATCCTGCGAGTAACGTTTCTTTTTGCCGGCCTGCAAACGAATCAGCATTTCCCCAAATCAGATTTTTAAAGATTTTTCTTTGTTCTTTCATTTTTAAGTTTTGGAGTATGTGAATGTTAGTCTGTCTTAAGTGCACAAACCTATGTGATTTTGCTTAATTACTTTTCCATAGCTTATTTCAAATAAATAGTTCTGAAAAAGCAGCAGAGGAATCATAATTCAAAAGTTCTGCTATCTGTCATAGCCCTTTCTATACATTTGATGCTAGGGTCAGAGTAGACTGGCCAGGGCTTATTTTAAAAAGAACTGCTTGTCTTCATCTTGCATAACCTTTAGTTAAAGTGTGTCCTACCCTAAGGATGAACACTTGTAATAAAGCATTTTTTTTCAGTGATAATAAGTTGCTGGTAACTATGCACATTGAGCTGCTCTTTGCATCTTAATTGAGCAAGTTGAAATTGCTTGTATTTAAGAGGAAAGATTATTAGTTGGCATAAGCTTTTTTGACTACACTGAGGAGTCAAGCTGAATTTGGGCAATTTAAATATTCTGTGACCTCTTACCCAGTGCTAGGCCCAGTCTGTCTGTCAGCAGGCTGACCACAGTGCTGGGCAGAGCTGACAACCTGGGACTGCCTGTTGCTGCTTCTGCAGTGCATTCCTTTCATTTGCTGGTTGGTGCTTCTGGCAGATTGGCTCCCCAGTCCTGAACTGAAGTGTTTTTTGTGGGGATTTTTTTGTCCAAATACATGTTGTTGGAATGATAAACAAGAGATGAGCTGTTGTAAAGTGCCAGCCAGTTATAATCAGCTTGTCTATTGTAAGGAATTTTGATATATTGCTGGAATAAAAATAAATTTTAAAAATATTATAAAAGGTGAGAATAAATCTGTTCAGTAGCTGATTTGTTAGAAACCAAAGTCTCATATTGACACTATTATTTCATGTAACATTTGCAAAACCAAATTCTTCTGTAAGCATATTTATTTAATACTGGCTTCCAAGTGCTTACCATTTAGGGACTTTTTAATTAGTATTAATGTAAATGGACCAAAACCAATTCTTAATGTGTAAGCTAGCAAGCAGGATACTAGTCAGGACTGGCAGGTTTTTAGATTAGTCACCTAAATTGAATAGTGAGGTAGCTGCTGTAATTTTACTAAATTGAGCTGGGATTTAGCACCTCAAAGCCATCTTGGACTGAAAGCAAATGTCAGGATTTAGTCTCCTCACTTGAAGATAATCATTTGATGCTGATAAAAATTTTCTTCTCACTCCTTCATATTAAACCATGGTGAAGAGGGTGTTCTGGTAGATGCTAAGCTGGGATCCTTCCACCTGGTAAAAGTTCTTCCTCAAGCATCCTCCATACGCAGCTGCTGCGTAGAACTGTGGGAGCAGCATTTTTGGAGATGCCTCTTTTCTAGCTGGTGTCATCAGAAATATTAGCAGCTTTGTCTGAGAAGGGTAGACATGCAAAGTGAACATAACATGCTAAGTCCTCATAGAGGCGAGAGGAACAAATGAAAAATAAGCATGGAAATCCTTCTCCCCCTGTGCATGCTTAGGCTTTTCAGGAAGTAGAAAAATCAAGTTGAATGGAAAATGTTTAATGTCACGGTAGAAACGTGGCATTTTATACTTCCAGTTCCTACTGGTATTAGCTTTAAGGCTAGAAGCAAAGATTGATTAAAGTACTTTTCAAACTAGATTCTCTCTTGCATCCTCATATTCCCTGCAAAAAACCACACACATCAGTTTTGTAGTTCCACTAATTAACTTAATGTTTTAGTAAATTGGCAGTGCAAGATAGCTGTGTCGGATAAATGTTACATTGCACAAGATCTCCTGTAGGAAGTTCTAAAATGGGAAAAGTTCTCAAAGGAATTAAAATACACCAGTTTCATTTGCTAGTGGGAGCTTGATTTGTATGCAGATGAATATGCAAAACTGTCTTCACAGCTCCTGTGTACTATATGAGCATGGCTGGTTCACTCAGCTCCGTCTGAGACTTGATGTGCATCCAATAATTGCACCATGAGATGCAAGCACGTCCTGAGGGGACAGTCAGTGGTGTTGAGGGCCCAGTGTCCTTGTTAGACCCATTTCACAGCTTTTATTTGAATTGGCTTTGTTTTGAGCTGAGGTAGGCAGTGCCTGGTAACAGGTGGCATGAGGTAGGTGCTCTCTGGGGGTGCAGCTGATGTCTGATGGCATTGGGAAGTGGTCAGGTCAGCATCCTCAGGCTCAGTGATGCATACCCCAGAGCTGGAACTGAGCACATCTGTGAGATTCATTTGAGCAGCATTTTTTACTGATCCAAGTGGAAATGTTTTTGGGGGTGTATGCACACCTCAGCTGTATCACCTGTGGAACTTCATTGCAGTCACTATTTTGTAAGGCTTTCCTCTTGGTAGATTGATACACTTTGGGTAGATTAGGATTTACAGGAGGAGGGGAGGGGGATGTGTGTCTCTGTTGGCCTGCTTCTCTGTGCCTTTCACAACCAAGAGAGCAGGAGAATTGTGTGAGCAGTTTGTGCTGGGAAGTGCTTGTGCCAGGGTGTTCTTTGAACTGTAGGTTTTTCTTTTCTCTTGAGCAAAGCGTTTTGTTTCCCGTATTGTGGTGATACATCTAAACTATTGTTCCCTGTCTCTTTTAATTAGACTTATTGAAGGTTTCAGGCCAAAATAGTGACCATAATCATATGGCTTCTGCTTCTGAACTGACCTTTGAATACACTCAGCATAAGCAGCATACAGAACATCATTGGCTACTTCTGTTAATGAATCTCATTTATTAGATTATCCTGTTTCTTAAGTTCTGTTTTCATCCTTCACTTGGGTGTTGGAGCCATCATCTTGCTGTGCCCTGTGGGCCTCCTCCTTAGCTTTAAGGAAGAAAAAGGATTTTGCAGATCTTCAGAAGTTTGATGCAAAAAAAGCTTCAGTGACATTTTTCCCTTGCTCCTTGTGTTGTCTAATACTCTTAAACTTTGCCTAACAGCTTGTAGTTGTCTGGCTACATGTGTGCATAATGTGTTTTGTGTTTAAATGGAATAACACCTCACAATTAAGTGATCCATGGCAGTGGTTTTTTGGCACTAATCTGCTACTTTGATCCAAGTAATGGAGATGATCCAAGTAATGGAGATCCAGTTCAGATTTTGAACACTACAAAATCAGCTTGGTGTGGGTTTTAAACTGCTGCTGGAAACTGTTGTCTTCTCTGAAGTCCAAATTAATTAACTTTTTTTTTCTGTTCTCTAACGTGGCTCAGCTTGTGCTGAATTGATATTCCATCTTCCTGTTTTGAGGTGTGATTTCTTTTTCATTGCTCTGAGTGCTGTTCATTCCTTTCCCTTTTCAAAAGATACAGTCCATTATGAATATTTCTGTGCTGCATAACATGCTTGTTACCTTTTCCTGTTCAAAGTGACACCTGCAGGCCAGGATAGTATTCTTAAAGATGATGAATACTGAGTGGTAACTCATATATTTTGCTTATTGGGGTTGTTTTTGGAACTTGTAGTTTTGACAAGCATCTGGCATACAGTGTTACTGAATGCATTTCAGATATAAATAATTCATTTATCAGGATATCTGCTGAAAATGTTCTTGAGTTTTCTTTTGCCATTGTCTTCTACCTTGGAAAGCATTCTTGCCTGCACATAGATGCTCTTCCTTGTTTTGCTAGTATTTTCTGTGTGACTCATGTCCCTGCCTCTTATTTTCTGCAATTCTGACATCTGTGAATGGCAGACAGTGCTGCATCAGTGTGTGCATAGTGCCAGCTCTTGAAAATTTCAGCTTTGAGGCTTTCAGGAATGGGAGGTTAAGCATGACCCATAGATAATGCCATTTGGAGGTGTTCTTATAAAAGAGACAGCTCGGTGCATTTTGTAAAATCCTTGGCATTAGTCCTGGTTTTGTATCTGCACTCACCCCCCAGAACCACATGCAGAGTCCCACAGTACCATATGTCTTATGCCCACCCTGGAATATTTGCAGTCTTTCAGACATGTGTCTCTGTGTGAGCAGCTGTCAGTTCTAGATGTACAGAAAAAGGGAACTCTGCTATTCAGCAGAAGCTCTTAGAGCTGATTAATATTGCAGAACTTATTTGCCTTAAGAACACAGAATTCAAAGGAATGATGTACTTCCACTTGCATCTATTCCAGTTTGGAGAGAAGGAATTATTAAAGAAAAGTCTGTGTTATTTGAATAATTGCAAGGTTTTCTTGTCTTTAAGGGAAAGTTTCTTAAATTATTGCTGCTTAAATATCAGTGTTGCTTGTTCAGGGAAGCTTGTTATCACTAGCATTTGAGTTACCTTTTAATAAAACACCCCAAAACCAAACAAACCAACCTCTTTGCTTTTGTGATCAAGCCCTTCTGAAAAGTCTTTCTTCACTAGCATTCATTTGATCTTTGATACTTTTCCTGGCTTCAGTTCTGTCACAGCAATCCAAAACATGTCCACACAGTGCTCGCTGCTTGATCCGTATTGGTGCAGTTTCTTTGCACTTGATCTGGAAATTGATCCTAACTCCATGCTGCAAGGGAAAATGGGAGGGTTGCTTTAAGAGGTTTAGTTGGAAAGGAGGGATGTATTTGCTATGTTGAAGTCCACCTGAGTTTTAAGAGAGGCTCCAAAGTCTCTGCCCAATGTGTTAGAGCTGATTAGAACATATGTCTTTGGAAAGTGGTGTTGGATTTTTGCAGGTCGACCAGCTGTCTGCAGGCAGTGTGAGAGTGACCAGACAGCAAGTGGCAGGGTGTCTAAGGAAATACTGCTGGGAAGGTTTGGAATCACAGGCCAATCACTTGTTGAGATCTTTTCTGATTTGAAGTGGAAGATCCTACAAGGAATGGTCACCAAAACTAACCTTCCATAGGTGTTTGAGATTTTAAGGGTTACTAATTCCAGCTGCACTTCAGGCAGTGTTACAAGAGAGCTGTTAAATGCAGATGTCCTTGTTTCTTAGAACAAGCATTTATTGGTGGCATTGCTTGTTTTCTCATGTAAAATGTAGCCTTTTTCCTCTATTGCACTAGTAATGGTTAAGTTGTAAACTGCCATGTCACAAAACACTTTGGGATGCCCTGGCTTTTGATTTAGTACGGAATTAAGGGAGATGGGAGAAGAAAAGCCCATTTTTGACTGTTAAACAAAAAGCATACCATCTTTGGAAGCCTGTGAGCCCTGGATATTTAGAAGGAATTTGCTTTTATCTGTTTGCCCTGCTGAACCCTTTCCTACGCATCAGCTGTTGCTCTCTGCTGAGGAAGACACACTAATGCTGTGTGGCCCTTCTGGTTGCCCTGCCACAGCTGCTTGTGTACTTTGTTGTAACTCCCAAGCACTGAATGTGCTTCCTGTGGGCTGGGCCTCCTTGCCCTGCCTGTGTGTGCACAGCAGAGGTGCTGGATTTGGAAAAGCCAAGGAGACTGTGGGTGCTTCTGTGGTGTGCTCAGCAAGGGACTGGCCCAGCTGCTGCCTGACCAGGACAGGCTCAGACCCAGCCTGGCTCTGCTCACCCTGTGCCTGCCAGAGGCTGTGTTTGGCTCCTGGTGGAGCACAAGGCCTGAAGGAAAAGGAGCACACAGGTGGGGCACAGGCAGAGGATTTCACCCCAAACCAGTCAGATTCTATAAAATGCTGTACCATTAAAAATGCTGTGTTGCTTAGCAGAGTGTGTTACTTCTTTGAATTATCCCTGTATACCAGGATAGGGCACCCTCTCTTGCCAGTCTTAAATTTGCACTAAAATGAAGAGTGACGTGATTGTGAGCAATTCAAGAAACAGGAACACTCAGTGGTTCTCTTCCATTGCAGATATTTGTGAAACTTGCATCTTTCTTGACTAAAAAAAAAAAAAAAAAAAAATCTTTGTTTGTATATTGCCTTTGTTCATTGCAGACCCTGAGTCAGATTCCAGGTCAATATTTGCTGCTTGGAAAGGTATAGGAGAAAAGAGAATTAACATCTGGACCATTTTCTAACCTTTTTTTCAAATAGGGATCCATATAACACTTTGTTCCTTTTGTGGGCCCAGATTACTCTTGTAACTGCAGTATCCTGAACATGAAACTGGTTTCTCAGTTAAAATTTTTGAGCTGAACCAGATACTGTCTAAAAGAGCTTCCTTGCAAAACTGATAAAACTTAAGATAATAAGCACTGTATAGATGTTGATGAATGGTACATGAGCACTGCTTTAGGAACATCATATAACAACCCAAGTTTCTCATGACCACACAAAAGCACACTCAAGGGGGGAAAGAGGCTTTTCTCTTGTCTGGAGATGGAATAGTTTAGTGCTTTGGGGCTCTGAAAACCTGTAGCTGAGGCTTTGATCCTGCTAATATTCCTTGACATTTTGTTCAGTAGGGCTTTGCCTTGTGAAGAATGGAAGGATACAGCACAGTAGGGTTTTGCTCTGCAATAATACAGAAACCCTTGACTTAGGGAATTGCCTTTCTAGCTTTTGGCATGCTAGAACCTTGTTGCACTGTGTGGGGAGGTGCTCAGTCCCTGGCTGCTCCTAAGGCTTGCCACATGTAGCCCCTCTGGGCTTGGACTGTATTTTGGTTAAATAGTTAATACATCATATTTTGACAGAAAATGCTTATTTGAAATTCTTTTTTTCACATTTGAAATGCTGTGTAACTGCTGTGAGGAAGCAGGTACTTACTCAGTTTACTTGATGCATGGCATGGTGGGAAATGGTGAAAATTGTAATGCTGTATTAGTCTAGAACAATATTGTGCAAGTAGGTTGGTAAATGTGAAAGCTGGAAATAGAATTCTGTCTTTGCTTCCTCTAAGGAGTATGTTATGTTTCCCAAAAATTCAAGGACAGTAAATTTTGATGCATTTTGATTTGCCTTGACACATTTTTGAGCAAGACTAAAAAAAGACTTCTTAATTTATTAATAAAGATTAAGGCATTTCGTTTGAGTGTTTATCTTCCTCCTAGCATCAAAGTCTATATGAGTTCTGCATTTTTGTTTCTAAACCAGTCATATTTCTACTGTCATGGTGTTTGCTAACGTGTTTTTTTCCCCTGAGCTGTCAGTCTTTGTCTATAGGAAGGTTGCAGATGTTTTGCCTTTGAATAAATTTAGGAGATGGGACAACTGAAAAAAATTCTTTCAATAGGTACATATCATGTCTTTTGCCATTTGAGTGGGTCCATATGTCTTTAAGGCCATCAGAGGCTTCAAAGTCCCTCTGATTTTCCAGTACATGTGATATTGAGAACTTGTGCTGCTGGGAATTCAGCAGGGAAAATAAAGCTTGTTTTCCTTGTTTGGCTACAGTATTGCTACAGTAATTTTGAAGTGTATAGTGACTACTGGTAATTTCCTTAAGAAATAACTTTTATTTTTATCTTTTAGTCTCCCACAAAAGCAGTGTATAATGCTAGACACTGGAACCAGCCAGAATCAGAGGCTCTGCCAGCACCACCAGCTTTGAAAACTCCCAGTGTCCCAGTAAGTAGACTGTTGGTTTTTTTCTCCTTTCCAGATTCACTGAAGTTTTTTACTTTTTTTTTTTTCTTTAAACCCAAGTTCTTGCTATCTGGTAATGTCACAGTAATTCAGAATGAGGTCCACTTTGTGATGTGAGCCATTGGAATTTGATAGAAAGGAAATGGTTAGTGGAAGTACTGTAGAATAGGATCTTTCATATAGCTTCAATATAGTTACAAAAAAATACTTCAAGTTATGTTCCCCAATGCTGAACTTTCTAACAATGGACTCCATTCCGTTTTCTGAGAGAACTCCCAGGATTAATTTACTTATGAACACAGAAGTCAGCAAATTACTGATGAAAAAGAAAAAAACTTAAAAAGAGTCTTGTCATTTATCTTTCCTTTCTAATGGAGTAGTGCTGATGGCTGTCTTGAGTCTTTAGATACTATGAAAGAAACACCATTTTCTATGTACAGTCAGAAATGCTAATACCAACATTTTGGAAATCAAAAATACACCAGGGGTGAAAACAGCTCTTGAAGTTGTTTGTCCAAAAGTAAGTGGTTGTTTTGAGACTCAAAGTAATTGTTTTTTAACTCTTTTGACACTCTGAGAATCCAGGGTCTTCAGCTTATATTGCAGAAATTGTTTACTGATTATTCTAAGAGAGCACTGTACATTGTCAGTAAATGTAATTTCATTTGGTGCCTTGATGATAGTACTGGCCTGAGGACAGAAAATAAGAAAGCAGATATTTTTGCAATGATAAGTCTTCAGCTTTTGTTGTTGTCATAAGTTTGTAGTTGTTTATTTTTTGTTTCTTTCTTTCTTTTGATTTTGTTTATTTGTTGGTTTGGGTTTTTTTTTTTTGGTTGGTTTTTGTTTTGGTTTTTTTCTTCTTTTTTTTTATTTCTACCCCTGTTTGTGGTGTTCTGGTACTTCTTCCTCTTTGATTTGTGGTTGTTTCTGGTTGCCTCCTCACAGTATTCTGAACAGCCTTCTTTGGATTGTTAACTGCACTGCCTGGAAAATGCAGATAACTGAGTTGAAAACAGCCATTTCCACTAGAATCTGAGGAGAGAGCAGAAATTTCAGCCCTGGGTTTTTACTAAACCCCTTTCTCAATTTAAATTATGTACCTTTGAAGTGAAGGATTTGTTGCTTGCTGAATCTCTTGGTGCTGTTTTTTGTGAAGTCCTCTGCTAGCTGACTTAAGGGCAGATTTTGTGTGAGTCTTGTCAGACAGACTTTGGATATGGCTTTTTCAAGCTAGGGAAATGTCTGTTGCATTCATTCAGACAGTCACTTTTGTCTTCTGTCAGACTTCCACTTTGTATCTGGAACCATCAGAATATTAATTCAGGAATGTGGTAGAGGTTTGGCTGAACAAACCACTGAGGGGAATTTCTATGTGCTGCTCATGTTATGATGTACATCTGAAGTTACTGCAGACATGGTTTTTAACCATGATTTACATGTGTGTAATACTTCAAAGTGATAAGGTGAATGAGCCTTGAGCCAAATGTTCAGTGGTAGTTCCTGCACGTATGATCCTGCCTCTTCAATTTCTGTAGAAATTTCTCACCTGAAGGTTGGGAGAAGTTTGTCTCAGGTTTATGGTGAGAAACTCCCAGCATGCAAACTGCTTATGCCAAGTACTCTCTTAGGGCCTCTCCAAGTGCCCTTGGAGTTTGCTTTGAAGGGGCAGCCATTAACCAAGACTTGGATGAGATCCTTCAGTGGCTCTCCTGTGTTCACAGACTGATAAGATCAGTGCTCCAGTATGTGCTCTAAACCGGTTTTTCAGGGTGGTTTATTTACCATTTTGCCACTGGTGCCTAAGTGAGTGAATACTGAAATGCCACCCTGATAGAGGCAGAATGTAAAGAATACTTCAGTAATACAGCAACTTCTTTTGGTTTTTATTTTAATTTTGTCTGTCAATGTACAGTGCACCAGAGGGCTTTCTCTCCAGCTCTCCCCTGGAGTAACAGCTCATGCATCTTCTATGCCTGCATGTTAATTCTATTTTTTCAGCCACACTTTTAAACTATTCTCATTTTTCTGTGTAAGGAAGCTAAGTACATGATGTTACTGAAAGATTGAGGGTGAGTAAATGCCCATTGGAATTGGCACTTGTACATTTAGAATTTGGCATTTGGAGGTCTTTTTCCATATGCCTTGTTTGCTGTAGTTTGTCTTCGTATTAGATTTTGTGCCAAAGAAGTAATCTGAAGATAAGCTGCACTTCAGCTTGTAGTAGTCTCAAACTAATACAGCCAAGTAAGTTGAGAAGAAACCTGTAGTACCTGCTGGAGTTGTCTGGAAACCTGTCAGTAGTTATTCCAGACCTAACATCAAGTTCTCTCCTCCCTGTAGAACAGGTTCTGCTGTATTTTATGCCATGATATGCTCCTAAAATATTTAACAGCACAAATAAGAGAATACTAAGAGTGTGCTCTCCCTGGCTTGAGGCCTCTCAAGGCTCTGTGTGGCTGTTGTTGTGCTGCTACACAGTGGGTGCTGGTATTCTCCTGCTTCAGGCCCGGTGGAGTTTGCAGTGTGAGGCTGGAGGGTTGGACAGCAGTGCAGTGACCTCTGGCAGGCAGGGCCAGAGCAGCTGGCACAGAGCTCTGCAGGCCAGCCTGGGCTGGGGCTGGGCTGGCTCAGGGCTCTGCTCCCATCCAGAGCCAGCTGCTTCCTCGGGGCTTCACAGTGCAACCAGCCTGGGCATTCCAGTGCACAGGGGTGAGAGACTTCAAAGAGCAACAAATAAACACTGAATTTCCTTGGTTTACTTACCCTGAAGCTTAAGGAACCAATATAAAGGGCATTTTATTCTGCCACTGGTTTTAGTTTCAGAATTCCACTGGAGCTTTCCTGATATTTGGAAATGTTTTTGGTTTTTTTTGGTGGTTTTTTTGTATTTAAGAGTAGACAGATTGTCACACAGCTTAGGTACGTACATCTTGGTAGTGCAAGGCAAGGACTAAATAGTCCCAAAATGTGAGTTTGACAATTGCACACCTGTACTGTTTCCTGATGTATTTAGTGTATGTTTTCATGCTCAAAACATCTGCCCATTTTAGCACTTTCTTATTAATAGGTAAGGCTATCTTCAAAGGAGGCAATTCATAAAGATGATGGAGTTTTTAAGGCTCCTGCACCACCTCCCAAAGTGATAAAAACTGTGACAATACCTACTCAGCCCTATCAAGAGATAGTAACTGCATTGAAATGTAGGAAAGAAGACAAAGAAGTAAGTATTCTTAACAAATTTTTAAGATAAAGAATTACTAGTAATCCTAACTACTGAAGGAACAGTGTCAAAACACAATTTGGCTTTCCTATTAAAAATGATATTTTGAATGGCCTTTATTAACATCTTAATGTTTCCTTGCACTTAAAACTGAATAGATTTTTAAACTGTACTTGTTAAGATTATTATCAATCCCAAGAGCAACTTACTTAGGTCAAAATATTTGTCTTTTCCAGTTATACACTGTTGTTCAGCATGTAAAGCACTTCAATGATGTAGTGGAATTTGGTGAAAATCAAGAGTTCACAGATGATATTGAGTACTTGCTAAGTGGATTGAAGAGCAATCAGCCCCTAAACACACGTTGCCTTAGGTAAGACATCTAATACAAAACATGGAACCTGTATTTGAAAGAGATACTGAATTAAATATGCACCAGAGAAGTGATCATGCTTTAAAATTTCATGGACATTTACCTGGCACTTCTGCCATGAAGAGTAAAATTGGAACATAATAATTAAGATTGTATATTTTGAATAATCATAAACAGTATGGCTATGAAGATGAAATGGTAAATTGTGCAATAAGAGACATCTTTGACACACTTGTTTATCCTTGCTGTAAATTAAAAAAATACCTTCTGATAACTTGTTCATGTAGTACATCTTGTGTGTGATGTCTGTTGTGTTTTTAATGTAAATTCAGTTCTAAAATAAAATCCCTGAGACTGCAGAGTTTGATGAAAATCTAGAACTGCGGTAGTAGTGAGATGCTGTTCAACTTCAGCTGTCTGTTCTTTATCTTCTATTGAGAAGTAACATCACTGACACCCACTAAAAGGACTGAGGCCTCAACATTAATTGGGAGGTTCCTTAACTGGTCTTGGACTACTCTTCATATTCAAATTACACATTATTGTGAAGTTGGCATCAAAAATGTTAACCTTACTTTGAAAAAGTTTGTGGCTTTATACCGGTGTCAATTGCCTGGACATGAAAGTAATTGTAATAATGTTAAATAAAATAACCATGCAATAATATTTTTATATACCTAAATTTTCCTTTCTGTTCAGTTAAACTAAATTAGTAGAGAAAGAAAAGTTGAATTCATAGAGAGAGGTGATGGCAGTGCTTTGTGATTTGACTGTGGCTGAGAAGAAGCTTTCTATGCCTCTAAGAGAGCTACTTTAAAGTTTATTTGTTCCTCAGAAATTAGCAATTAATATTGTTGCTGGAATAGAAGAATGAGCACTCTATTACCAGTTTGTTTATACACTATGATAAGAATAAATTAATACTATAATGACAGTTTAGAAATAGTTTTCATATGAGTGGTCCTTATCTGCTCATGTGGCAAAATTAATTAGATTTTTAACTAATTCTTCACAAATTTATATAATGGAATGTAACTTACATAAGCACAACAAAAAAATCTTTTCTTTCAGTTAACACATTAAAAGAAAAGTGTTTTTGCAAAGGAAATCAATGTGTAAGGATAGGAGTAGACCTAAAAGACTCAAACAGGTCGGTAAGCTCTAACTGGTGCTGTTGTGGTTGGAGACAGAAAGACCCCTTGTTCTTTTAAACACCTTACTGTGTGAATTTCTTAGAGGCAGGTTCCTCAGCAGTCATGGAAGACTTGATTGCAAAATCACTCCCACAATAGTGCACATTTAAAAGCAATGTATTTTTAGCAGTTGTTATGTTGCACTGTGCTAGAAATGGCAGGCAGCTTACTGAGAAAGCTTGGGGAAAAATGCCATTTTTAAAATAACTGTTAAGCTGGTCAGTGATTGATTCATTTGTCAGATCTTTTCTGAAATCTATAGTGTTTCCATCAATTACAAATGCTGCAATAAATATAAAAAGAAGCTTTATGGAGGCATAAGTGAGACTAGTCAGTTAATTAGATAAGCATTAGATAGCCATGGAAGCTCACATTTACCATTTCTCATAATGTCTTGGTCCATAATGAGCTCTCCCATGTCTCTAAATCAGAGCTTCATGCTTAATCCATGGCATTTTACTTTCAATTAAACTATTGGAAATTTTCAGCTTTTTTTTTAAGAAGCAAATTAAGGCTGCCCTTTAAAATCCTGATGTTAGCCAAGCTTAATCTAAAGCAGACATAGTTTGGTGCTGATAAGCAACTTGAATAAAACACTGCTCACCAGTCACTGTTCACCAATTGCAAACCTGCCTTAGACAAATTTTAGAAGAAACATTCCAACTGTTTACCAAGGTCTGAGGCACATGGTCAGTCTTGTGTTGAAGACTTGTTTTTCTGCTGTTCTTGTTAAGTGTGTTCATTTCAGTGGTTCTAACCCAGTGAATTCTCTGCAGTGTAATCAGCTTGGCGACCAAGTGTGCCATGCCCAGCTTCCGAATGCATCTGAGGGCACACGGCATGGTAGCCATGGTGTTCAAAACACTGGATGATTCCCAGCACCATCAGGTATGGATCCATTGTGCATTTCATTGAAGTTGGGTGATACCTGTTCTGCTGGCTGGGGATTTTGTTCAAGGTCAAGCATCCAGTATATTGTGTACATGTGTATATATATTTATAGATACAGTATAGTCTGTCTAATGGTGCCTCTGGGATCAGTGGCTCCATTTTAGGGAGCACTCATTAGTGGCATAAAAAATTAGAGCACCTGTGTTCACTGACAAATTCCTTATTCCACTGTTCACGTGCTTCTGGGTTTGGAAATTCTTCTTTTTGAAAAATAGGGATTTTGTAAAAATGGACTGTTCTTTGGATTGCTATTTTACTTATTCTCTTAAGCTTTTACAGAATTTTACTGTTGTATTTTAAATTCTTTCAAATACATTTGAAAGGAATCCTTCCTCCTTATATTTAGAGGTGGCTCTTAGTGCTCATCTCCAGACTTGCTTGTATGAGAGTTGCTGCCTCTTCTGTACCTGTTGTAGGGATTTTTTCATGTCTTGTGCTTGTCTCCTTGAGCACTACTGTAATTGCAGTTTTAGGATTCCCTGAGCATATATAATGTTCTGTTGGATTCTAGGAAAGGTAAGTTTCATCTTTTTATGGTAACATGACCTGAGAGTTAAACTGAAGCAGTTTGGTTTTCCTTCTTATCGATGTTCCCTCTGTGGGGTATCCCTTGAGATATTTTTACAAAAGCTGGAAAGATGAGATTTTACTTGAAATGGGTAGTAGCTATGTATATCAGTCAGGTTTATAATTTTCTGTAATAGCTCTAAGAAGAATGGCATACAATGCAGAATGCAGCTTTGCACCCCCAGAAATAGACATTTCAGAGATGGTATTTGACATCTTACTGTGGGTGGGGGGAAAAAAGCTGTAGTTTAAGTAACTGTTTTAGAATAATAGCTTATTTTCCATCTCCCTCAAAAATTAGCAATGGCTAATTGTGAAACATAGGCACCAGGTTCAATGAGTTCATTATTTTGTGAGCTGTCAAAACAGTGCCAAGTGATACTAGAAATAAATGAAGTACAGTCACTCTATTTAGGACAGTTGCCACCACTGAGTTGCAGGAGATCAGCAGAGGACAGCTACAGTTCCCTGGAAAATGTACAAGCTTGCTTGGGTGTATTTTTGGCTGTCTTTTAACAGTTACCATTATTCCTTCATTTTCAAAAGAACTAGCACATGCAGCTGAAAAGGAAATTGCATGCTATTATTAGTCTGCAGTAACAAAAAGCATTGATTATATTCACTATTTTCAGTAGATTTGATGAAATGCTCCCTTTTGTCAAAGAAAAAAATTGATAGTTAATGTTTGAATATCGTTACAGTACATTCTTGGTACAGGTTTTACAGTATTGTGAAATTCCTGGTACATCAAACTACTCTTGATAAATGGTAATGGGTATGCCCTAACTACTGACAGTATGTGCTTCAACACTAACATCTCTGGATATGCTCACTGTCTGTCTATACTACCCTTTCATTCACTAATTATTTCACTGATACTTTTCTTTTTTTCCAAATGAATAGAAATTTCTCCAATAAATCTCAGTTCAAAGTAACTGAAAAACAATAAATCACACTCAGCTTTGCATGCATGGCTCAAATTCCCTGTAAGATAAATAAGAACTGAGCTAAAAATGCACAGTTATTTGGTTAATATTTTCTTAAAGTATTTTGAAGATGGGAAAACTGCCACAGTGATGCTGTTAATGGAAACAAAAATGAACTTGTACTGAATTCATTGTTCTAATGCAATAGAATAGACTGAGTATACAGGGGACTCTTTAAGATTTCCATAAGGAAAATAAAGTAGCAGTTGCATACTGGCAGTTGGCATTTCTTGAACCAGCAGGGAAAACAAAATGCCATCTATCTTACAGAGCTTTGCCCAAAAATAACAACATGAAAATTACTTGTTCCACCAGATTTTTCTTGTAGACTTGTGTTTAAGCATAAGTTTTTAATTGACTTTCTCTCTTCAGTGCTGCCCTGTCAAGATTTTAAAGCATTATTAATTTTTAAAATAAAAACTATATTTCCATTATAGCTGTCAGTAGTCAAGCAAAGAAATGTGGTTTTATAATGTCTCCAGCATGAGAATAACTTAAAAAAAGATAAAAGTGCATTATATGTAGTGCTGAACCCTAGCAAATAACCATCTGTTCCCACAAGCTGGAGTATAAATAGAACAAGCAAGAGAAGACAAGGATGAGAGTGGGTGTAAGTGGTCTGCCATTTCTGGAGTGTATGTTCAAACTAGGATGTTTTCCTGAATTCTGTAGAAGTATGGAGTGCAAACCCATAGTTAGATGCGCCATGAAATTTATGTCTAGAGCAAGTTTTATTTATTGTACTTTTTTCTCTCTTCTCTGCATTTATTTGGAAAAATGTGTTTTATGCATCTTGAGAAGTAGAATGAGATGGGGGAAGCTCACCTGAAAAAAATCACTCTTCTACTGCAGTCTGTAAGGGTGGCATTTAGAAGGATTGATTTGGTTCTTTGGTTGTTTTTTTTTTGTTCTTTTAGACTACTGATCAAATATGAGTTGTAACAACAATTTTCCCCTCATTCCAAACTTGGAATTGTGTGTATGGTAGGGCATGAGATAGCTTTTAGGCAGTGTGGTTAATTAAACACTTAGAGTAAGATCAGAGTAGAATGTAGATTTATTGTATTCAAGATGAAGACTATAGGGACTAGGAGAAACCAGCTTTCCAAAACCTTTGTCACTGGTATGAAGCTAAAGCAGGTTTGTTCCATGCTGTAAGCACCATTCACATTTGAGATCCTTACTTTTATATCATCAATATTTTCCTGCTGCACCTCAGCATTTGGAGGCTTACTGGCGTGAATCTGCTGTGTATGTGCTGTGGCAGGAACCTGGCTCTTGTTTCCCAGAGCCAGTCCAGCCCTTGTGCTTTCCCAGCAGCCTTAAACCTCCTGCATCGTGTCTTGGTGATCTGATCTCATTAAGTGTCTTGAAACCTGGGTGGCCAGTCTGAAGGGAAGTGTTGGCAGAGCTGATGCAGAGGGAAAAAGAACCATTACTCCCTTCATGATGGAAAGCTGGTTGGGTTGGAGAGAAGGGAACCTGGAACAGGCAAGGGCTTGATGCAGATGCTTAGAGTGAGTGTGATTGCCCTTACCAGACTTCGGAGTATCTGTAAAGCATTTCTGAGTAAGGATCTAAGAACAGTCTCTGACTTCTTGAAATGCCTAATACTGGCAGCCCAGATTATAAATCCAGCACTTGCCCTCTGTGAACAGCTGCATACTTTGTGGTTGATAGAAACTCTTTTGGGACCTTCAGCATTTTTTTTAAACCAGGAAACTCACCTAGATAATGCTGGTCATTAAAATATAGTTCTTCATAGATGTTGAAGTCCCACATTGGCTGAACAATAATTAGCTAACCTTTGCTTCCTCTGGAATGTGTGAATTCCTGTGTCCTGTTTTCATCACTGCCATTCTGGAAGAGCCCAGTTCTTCAAGGAACCTGGCATGTACAGTTTAAGCCAGGTGCAAGTAAATGAAGAGTGAACAATTTCTGTGATTAAAACAATAAAATTGCGAGGCTTATGGGAGAAAGTTATTGAAAATCAAAGGTGAACAATGTATACCTTCTGCAGACAGGTCACATAGATGCTTTCTGCCTTACATCTGGCAAGGCTGAAGTAGTGATAAAAGGCTGGGGGTAGCCTTTGGAAACTCTTTCCTGCTTCCTTCCTTCAGTAGTTCCAGCACATCTTTGGTAGTTGGTCAGGTTCAAGTCCTTATTCACCTGAGGATTTCCTAACTCAGACAGGAAGGAGTTTTGACATAGCTTTTGATAGACTGTCAGCTGCCTAATCCTGTCTTGGGAATGCTGATACTGCTTAGTATGACCAGGTATGATTATTACTTACTTCTAAAATAAACAGAGTAGATAATGATTACTTTGGTGGTTGACTGAACTCTGAACAAGATGTTAATCTGCTATGACACAGAGTTCTGCTCTTTCCTGTTGAGCTGTACAACATTTATATTCCAGAATTAGTTTGTTTCCATGTTTAATTAATCTTATGCAGAAACAATTGTGATGGATGCATGCAGCATGTTGACTCCTGAGGGTTGAACTCAGAAGGAACACACATGCCCCACACACCCCCCAGCTCTCAACTCCTCCAGTTATTGACAGGGGTTTCTGACAGTTTTGTGCCCAGCACTCCTCTGTTCCCAGTGAACATTTCTCCTCTTTCCTGTAACTTGGATCTCAGTGCTCTCAGTACAAGTGTGGGATGGATGTGTGACACCAGGGTTGGATGGCTTTGCTTCACTGCTGTCTGTCCCTTCCTGACAGTCATCTTCTGCCTTGGCTTTTCTGGAGCCTCATGAAGGTAGAATTGAATTCCTTCTTCAAGAAGAATCAATTATTCTTTTGCCAGTCAGATGTGCCTGTACAATTCTGTGTAAGATATGGGCAGTCAAGTTAATAACGTTCACGTGTTAAGGGCTGTTGGGGATGGACAGGGGGAAGCTGATTTATACTCTGGCTACTTGTGAAAAGCAGAATTCCCCTGGAAAGAAAATGTGTTAATGCTGGAAAAGTTTGGATAAACTATTAACTGACAGACCCATTTGGCAGAATCAGAATTTATGTCCCCAGGCACTCCCTCTCTGCAGACAGTGTCCCCATGATCTCTGGATTTTCTGGTGCTGTCACCAGTTCATCCCCTCAAAGCAGAATGTTCACCTACCTTGCCATGTACCCTGAGCTGTTTAACTTTGTTCCCCTGCCATGTGTCTCTTCTCTAATACTGTGTTACTGGAGGTACTATTTCTTACTCTGCAGCATTGAGTCTCTAAAAACTAGAAATCCCTGCTTTTCTATTAGGGCTTTGTAAATATATTGAGTGCTTTATGTCTCAGTTTTATTTGTCAGGAGAATGCATTAGTAACTTGCTAGAAGGAATCTCCATTCAGCAGTGGGTGCTGATGCAAGTGCTAAGACTGGGGCCTGTCAGGCATTTTCTTTTATGAATCTTCAGCTTGTTTATTAAAAATAATGGAAGGTCTGCCTAAAATGGTAGTAAAAGCTAACTGGTTTTTTTTCTTTCTCTCCCAACCCAAGAATTTGTCCCTTTGTACAGCAGCTCTAATGTACATCCTTAGTAGAGATCGCTTGAACATGGATTTAGACAGAGCTAGTCTAGACCTGATGATAAGGCTTCTAGAATTGGAACAAGATGCTTCCTCTGCCAAGCTGCTGAATGAAAAAGACATGAATAAAATAAAGGAAAAAATTCGGAGACTGTGTGAGACTGTTCACAACAAACATCTTGATCTCGAAAACATCACGGTGGGTAACATGCTTTTATTGGAAAGCCTTCACAGTTGTGGAATGCTTAATAAAATGGAACTTGCAAGCATCATCCTTCATTTCACATCCCCAGCAAAGGATTCCTGCTGTTTCATCTACCTTTTATGTATACCTGACTGCACTGCAAGTGTTTTCTTCAAATTTGACATTTCCTTTTTCAAAAGTTGTTAGTGGGATAAAGTTAGGATGTTCTTCAGCTGTCTGTCTGAGTCTTGTTTGTCCCTGCTAAGGGTAGCTAGTTACAGGGAGCAGTTGCAAACAAGTAACACTAAATAACTGTGTGTTTAAAGCCCACACTTAGATTGACTCCATTTCTTTGCCTAAGTTTTTTAAGTACTTTCACAAACAGGGGTTTGGGTATGGGAGTAAGAGTATTGTGTGCTAAATTAAAACTGTGGTGTAGGTTTTGACATTAAAAAAAAAACAAAAAACATCGTGCAGAAACTGATTTTCCCCTACCCAAATTGTGGCAGTTCTGTTGCTTACCATGAATGTGGATGAATTTTTTCTTCCCTTTCTCAAATATACTTGTTCTTTATGAAAATACCTTCATCTGTAGCAGAATGAGCTGGCTCTGTTTAGGTTCTGCTTAAAAAGAAATTGGATGCTATCATCAAGCTAGCTTAGAAAATAAAAAGGCTAAGTGTTAAGGTTTTTTAGAAGAGTATTTTAAGAATTGATTGACAGATTGATTAGATGGGTGGCCATAAATGACAAAAAGAAGTAATGTGTCTTTGCTTTTGCCATATTTCAGTGTAGTTGATCTTAATTTTTTGACATCCTGTAACACTTACTTTTCAAGATTCTTATTAGGGTTTTTTCCATTTTTTCCTGTAATGCTTATACTCAACAGGAGAAGCTTCTGATTTATTGCTTATGAAGTGAGCTTTTCAGAGCTTTGTCTGTGCAAGTAATGTTCCAACTCCTGGCAGTAATCTGCAGTCAGGATTGTGTTCCATATTCAGTTGGACTGAAAGATTATGGGCCTTGTTGAGCTGGCACTTTGCTCTGTAGCTTTTGGGACTTTTGTATCAGTTTAGGAAGAGTTTCTTTGGGGTGTTTTCTCTTGGAATTCTGGCTATGGAACAGAGAGCTGAATTGATATGAAGAGCCCACTGTTCTGTAGCTTTAGCAAGGGCTAAATTTTGGGTGAGGAAGAAAATATCCATGACATCATTGTTAACTTTGGTAATCAGGTTGTGGTGACAGTGGAATACAAATTGCAATTTTTAGGCTTGTTTCATACCAAAACATGAAAGGTGCTGGTAGGGAGCTTGAATTAACTTTCTGGCCTTGCAAATCTGCAGAAAAGGAAAGAATATGAGATTATATTCTGCACTTCCAGTTTAACGTCTGAAAATACCACCACAGAATGAAATTTGTTCTCTAGGTGGTGATCAGCTAGGATTTGGTATAATCAGAGTTTTCTTTCAGTGCTGTTTTGGCACTGAAGGCAGCTCACATAGCAGAGTTTGTCAGTGCCAAGATATCTCTTGCACTAGAAAATGTAAGACAGCTCCCTTTATTAAGCATGGAACAGCTGGTGCAGGTTCCTCATTGCTAAAGCATCCAGCCACAAAGACCACTGTCTCCTGCTTGAGCTTTTCTCGTATTCATAATCTGATCTAGCCTGTTGCTTTTTTATGAACTGTAATTCTGTTCTTGTTTTTTCTTAGACATGGATTTTAAAAGGAGAGGATATATCAAAAGAGTCTCTGTCTTGTGAGGAAGTTGTTCCTGAGTAAAGAGCATTAATATCCTCAGCCATCAGTTTCAGCTGCTTTCTTTGAGGGTTTTTCCCTGAGGCAGCTCTATTTCTTAAATTTGCTTCGAGCTGTTGCTGTAAATGCATTGAATATTGTAGTACCTCACAGATGGAAACTGGTTTCCTCCCAGCTGCACCATCTAGAAGCAGCCTGTATAGTATTTAGAAAATATTTGCAAGCCAAATGAGATGATTAGGTTCTCTTCCAGTTTAAAATAGTAGCAATGGTAAGTTGAGACCATAATGAACTTCATATGTTGAAGATCAAGCTGCTTTCAGTAGATCCCTGTCATGAGATACAATAAGTAATCTCTGTTTCGTACTAAATGACAGGCAGAAAATGCAAAAAAAATTGCAAATCTTCTGGGGGTGAAGAAAAGCTCTGTGCTTTTTCAGACTCAGACATACCCAGTGAGAAACAAGAGGATTGCAGCAGATGTTTTTATACCTCCAGTTTGTGCCTAACCAGTCACACCTTGGCTTGTTTGAATCTTACACAGATCAGGAGAATGTGATCAATTTGCCTCCTTCTTTCCACAGACAACATTGTTTGTGTGTCTGTCTAGAAGTGAGGCTGGACTAATTTTTAAATATTCAAAGGTTCTGTTTTTTTTGATGGCTATTTATGTTAAAAACATAAACCCAGAAACCAAGAAGGAGGTGTGTGCAGCTTGAGTTTGTTGCAGGCTGGCTGTGCTGCATTAGAAGAACATAAACCTGAAGAACCTGACCTTCACCTCAGGAAATGGCCTCTGCAGCTCCTGCTTTTGCAGCTGCCTCCTCACTGTTGCATCAGAAAAAAGCCTTCAGGAGTGACTTCTGTTTTCAGATGGTGAAAGAGCTTAGTCTGGTTTTCACTCTCAGCATAAGGCTGAAATGTTAAGGCAACCATGTGTTAAAATTTTGTAGGAATTGACAAGAAATTTGCATGTAATGGATTATTTTAGTCAAAAGCAAAAGGGCTACAAGGTTTCATTGCTTTTATTTAAAAGAAAGGAGAAAATTGGTATCCTCATTAAGTGTGTACAAATATCAGATTATATTCTTTTAGGGTTATTGGAAGTCCTGCTGCCCTATGACAGAAAACAAATCACTGTGTTTTAAATATTGTGTGGCCTTTGAGCTTTTGTGGTGTAGGTATTTAGGAAATTAACTGACCTACTGTAGATTTGCTGGTACTTGTGCTCTCTTGATCCTCACAACCCCTTGCTGACCCGAGGATTCTTCCATTTGCCCTGGAGCAGTGCTGTTACTGTCATGCTCACAGTGACAGTGTGCTGCAGGGCTTGCTCCTACAACCCAGAAACAACTTTGGGTGTTAACTCTTCCTTATCTGATCTTCAACTTTCTTTTCCTCCTTTGAAATGAAGTATTTTGAAAGCAAGAAAAGCAGCTGAAGATGCTGGGGAGTGGGGGAGGGCTCATACTGAGACAATGAAGTGTTTGCTCAAGCCTGTTGAGTTGAGTACTGTTCTACTTCCATTTGCAGGGAGTGAACTTAGCTTTACTATTGCTGAATTTATATATGTGTTCCTCCTTTTTTCCAAAAAAGCATATCAGTAAATAGAATAAGGTTTCCTGCAGTTGTTCAGTTTAATTGCTTTATTCTGTAGGTTTGAAATTAAAAACACAAGATACCTACACTGGAAGCAAATGTGATCTGTGAGCAGCAAAGCCCATGTATCTGAGATTGATAAGCTGTGTTCACTCGGGATTTTCTTGATTTTTTTTTTTTTTTTACTGCCTGGCTGATTTGTCCATTTGCTTCCTCCACTTGTTTATTTTGATAACAATAGAAACAGATAACAGGAGTCTGCTTGGGTTTTCTAAGCTATTAATAAAATAAAGAAAATTTGAAAATGCCAAGTATCTTTTTTATCAGTATTATTTTTTTAAGATGTGCATATTTTCCAGTCTGTTTTTGCTCCCTCTGGTGGTGGTTCTCAGAGTCTGTACTTTCGTTTTTGTGGTTTTCCTGTGACGTATATTTGTATGGCTTGGTGTATTGGCTGCAGCTGCATTTGGTGATGTCACTCACTCCAGAACCTCTCTCTTTCAGACTGGGCATTTGGCAATGGAGACGTTACTGTCTCTCACCTCTAAGCGAGCTGGGGACTGGTTTAAAGAGGAGCTGCGACTTCTGGGTGGTCTGGATCATATTGTAGATAAAGGTATAGTGGGAATACTGCTTTGACAGCATGAAAAAATAGTGAATTGTAATAAAATGTTTGCTTTTTGTAATGTTCATTAACTGTGGTTAAAAATAGAAATATTATGTATTTTTCTTAGCAGTGTCAAAAATAAAATACACAATTCAATATCAAGTAACTGAGAAATATTAGTGATCTTAATCTGTTTCAGGTGGGATTGAAAGTAGTTTTCATGTTAAACAGATTGTGTAGAGCATTGCATTACAACGTATGAGAATAAAAATGGATTAAGCTTGGACAGAATGCTGTTACATATCTCTGTACAGCACACTTGTTCTAGAGTAGAATCTCCTTTATAGTCTTATAGAATTATTTTCAGACCAGATATTTTTAAACTAAATATACCAAAGGAAGTAAACCCTTCAAAAAGAAATTTGGTGGGGGCATGGTTCAAAGATATGCCTCAGTTAGTGTGTTTTTGATCAGAATCTCCTAGCTGAGAAAAGGGACATTTCTAAATGAGTTCTTGACCTGAATAAAGCTCGGTCTTGAATAAAGAGTGGGAGAACAAAGAAAGGAGTGGAGAGATGCAAGTATTAAATTTGAACACAGTTTCAGGTTATCGTTTTGGACTTGTAAAGTCTGGGAAATGTGTGCTTGTCCTGTCTCATTCCTCTTCTAAAAGACTCCCTTAGAGTTAAGGAACATAGTCGTGTGCTGGACACTGTTATTAGCAGGAGAAAATAATATATATGGTTAGGTAATTTGTAACAGCAGTCTAAAACTTGTCAAGACAATGTGGCAATGTGGTAAGGGTTTTGTTTTTTTTTTTCATTTACATGGAGAAATGAAAAGTTTTGGAGTGCTGCTCATGTCTTCATTATTAATTCCTGCCATTAGAGGTGTACAACAAGGTTGATAACTCTTGAGTAGCTGGTTAGTTTGTACACCTGGCTTTTGGAGACCTTTTACTTATGGGGGAAAACAACTTCTTTTTGTGTTTAGTTAAAGAATGTGTGGATCACCTGAGCAGTGATGAAAACGAAGAGAAGTTGGTTGCTTCCTTATGGGGTGCAGAGAGATGTTTACGGGTCTTGGAAAGTGTGAGTATGAGCAGACTTCTGAGAGTTGCTTCTTAAGCAGGTCTGGTTTACCTTCTTTCAGTGTGTAGTCACATTATAGCTCTATAAGGTTGATTTCTATTTTTTCATAGACTGTACTAACTTTCTGATGCTTATCAGTGTTTCTGTGGTGTTTGAAAACCTAATTTGCTATTCTGTATGTGTGTACTGCATTCCAAGATTATTTTTGTTAAAAATAACTAAATATAACACAATACTTTTTCTTAAGTTCCTACAAAAAGCTGCTGTTTATGGATGTTGTTTTCAAGGCATGAGTTTTGACTCTCCAATGTGTGTCTAGTAATAACTGATCATTATAGAAGTGGGATTTTCTTAGAAGCAGTAAATCAATGTTAAGAGTTGCTACTTTGAGCCATCAGCTGGGGAAATGCTGAAAGAGAAAATTGTCCTGAAGGGCAAACGAGTCCTGTTGTCAGTTGAGTGAGTAAATGCAGATGATAAATATTTCTTTGAGAACTTGTGAGAAAATCAAAATACATGGTACTTTTGTAGAGTTTGCTTGACAGGAATGGTGTGTGTGTGTGTTTCTCTGTAATGCCTTCACTGAGTTTGGTGTTTGTTCCTGGTGTTACCCTGTTTCTGTTGTGATACCCTAAGAAAGCAGAAGAGCCTTGTTATGTTCTAGCAACACATCTCCACACATCAGCAAACATTTGGGATCAGAGTACAGGTCAATGAATCTTGCTCAACACCTTAAACCCAAATTAGAGGGCAAATAGTTACAGTGGTCGCTTGTTTTCTTCACTAAAGTAGAAGGACAGACTTAAAGATAATGTAAATGCAAGCTAAAAACTGAGAAACATGAACAGTTGTTGAAGGGTGTTTTAAAAATTCTCTTTACCTTTCTTCTCAGCAGTGAGGAAAAAAAAACTCAGAGTCATTTTCTGCTTTGATATTCAATAGATGGAATTGCCAAACAAGAGTAGAAGAGCCTTGTCTAGTGTTAGAAAATTCAAATTTGGACTTAGGGGTGTTTGTGATGTAGTAAGATCCCCAGAGACTTGGGAGAGATGACAAAATTCAAAACACGCCAAATCACGCAGTCCAAGAAAAGAACTTCTGTTGCTTCTGAAAATTGACTCCAAATTTCAGTCAAGGGAATCAAGGAAAACCTTGTGTGGTATGGTGGGATGCATAATAAGCTCTCAGAAGTGGATTTGATGTCAAGTCCTTAAAATGCCATATATATGATTGTGTTCCCTATACACACCTGGATACTGTAGTCCCAAGTGTGCATTCAGGGTTCTGCTGTGGCAAAACATTCTGCTGCATGGTTTCTGTACTTTATCAGGGAAGATGGTTTATCTTCAGTGCCACAGTTATTTAGAGATGAAAACTCCAAGGAAATACTGAAAAATGAGAAGTGAAAGTTTACACCGGATAATAGCCAAGAAATGTGGAACTGAATCAAGTATAGTAGTAGTAAAAGGGAATGCTTCTTTTTCAGGGGAAAAAACTCTCTTACTTTTAATACTACTTTCTCCTTCTCTCTTTAGGTAACTGTGCATAATCCAGAAAATCAGAGCTATCTGATAGCATACAAAGACTCTCAGCTCATAGTCTCCTCAGCTAAGTAAGTTGAAGAAAAAATCCCCAAAAACCCCAGTTTTGCAAAATACCTCACATGATAGGGTAAAAAAGGAAAGACGATTCTAGGGGTGAATAACCCCAAAATTTCCACTGTTGCTTTTTCATTGAGTAAAGTTCATGTAGGTGGGGGTTTGGGCAACTACCTCAGTACTCCCAATGTGTAGAGCTGCTGCTGTTGGGTCTCTTTAGAGGCTGCAGACTGTGGATTCAGCTCCTGCTCTACTAAGAAGGAACACAGAAGATGGTGAAGTGACATTTATTTATTGTGTCTTTGTTATGCTTAAGTGTTTACTGGAATGGAGCATAGCAGAACTGACAGTGTAATTAAAAACTAAAATAGTGAAATCTTGTTCTTGACATTTCTCCCTGGCAGAGATTCTTGTACAAACACCTCTAACCCATTTATCAATCTGGGTGAGGTCTCAGTTGGCTGGCAGAGCCTGTCTGCCCCTTGTATTGCTCTTCATAACAGAACAAATGAAGCTGAAAGTTTGACTCTGCAGACCTCATTGGAAACATGATTTCATGGTTATAGGTTAGATATTTGGAGTATTTCTTTAAATTAAAATTAAGCAAACCACAATTTAATATGTTAATTAAACCAGTGTATGTTTTTGACATTTCTGGTTTTGTTTGTAACTGAAATCAGTGTGGTGGTTTAACGTGAAACTAATGTCATGCAGTAAAAGTCATGCCTGTGGTCCATTAGTGTTACAAGATTTGGATATTACTGCTGGGGAGTCATGTGTCATTTCTTACTGAATGGAAGTAGTTCTGAGAAGAGAACAAGAGAACATTCTGCTAACACTGTCAGAATCATGTTGTGTGAGAGGATATGAGAGGCTGGGTTTGTAGGAACAGGAGATATCTTTTGTAAGATCATGTGATGAAGCTGGGAAGGAAAATTAACTTGCTCTTGTAATACCAAGCTGATAATGCCCTAAGATTTCCAGGTTTTTGTTTACACAATTTTCAGTGGAGCTTATAAAAGATTTTACAGATTATAAGTTTATTATCTGTCCCTACAGACTGGTATCAGAAAAATTCTGCGTAAAGCTCTGTTTCAGGTTTTTTTTCCTGTGAAACAAGTCTACAGGTGGAGTGCTCTGTATGTTGTGAAGATAATTTTGTTCTGCCCCATCTCCCTGCAGAGCACTGCAGCATTGTGAGGAGTTAATCCAGCGATATAATCGTGCTGAAGACAGTATCTGTTTACCAGACAATAAGTCTGTGCCTCACCAGAATGTAACTAACCATGTGGGTAAAGCCGTGGAAGACTGTATGAGGGCCATCATTGGGGTCTTGCTCAACCTGACAAATGATAATGGTAAGATAACAAATATTTTGCATATTCTCTGCTGAAGTGTCAAATAAACCATTAGTGTAAATATATTTTTGTACTGATGATGGTTTTTCAAGTCCAGTGCTATAAAACAGTTATCCGTGGTAGATGTTTGCTTACAGCCCTCAGTAATTTGTCTTTGCAAGCTGGGTGAAGAATTGCAGATGAGGACTTGGGCTGAGAGTGACTGGTGTGTCATTAGAGCCAAAAGGTTTTTATTAGGCTGCTTAGCATTATAAATGTGAATAGTTTTCACTATTGTAAATAGTTTTCACTATTGAGCCTCTGAACTCTTTGTTTGCAGAATGGGGTAGTACAAAAACAGGTGAACAAGATGGTCTGATAGGCACAGCGATGAATTGTGTGCTTCAGGTTCCCAAGTTCCTACCTCAAGAACAGAGATTTGATATTCGTGTGCTGGTAAGTTCTTGTGCTTCTCATATCAACAGAAAATGATTTGCCTCCTTCTTGTGCATTGAGCTGCTCTGGCTCCTCATTAAGGAATACTTTCCCCTACAGTTTTCAGTGACCATATATACACCTAAAGTGAGGTACTTAAAGTTTTTGTAGGGATGTGGTGGGTTTGAGGGTTTTTCCCTTTGGTGGGAAAAAGTGCACTGCTTGATGAACAAAGAGATTTAGCTAAATAAGTATGTGAATTAATAATTTTCAAACATATTTTCAGTTTTGGAAATATGGTTGATATCATTGTTTGAGTTAAAAGCTTTGTCAGATTTACCTCAGCTTATATAAAATGGGTCAGAGTGGCCTAATAGCAACAGTGAAATTGTGTATATGAAGGTTCTCTTATGAACATAAGCTCAGGGTTGGACACCTGAATCCCTCACCTCTGTAAAGGAATTCTCAGCTCCAAAAATGTTTTCATGTTCAGAATTGGAAAAAATAGATAGTCCTGCATAAAAGTTCTCCTATACAGGCATCTCTGTTCTAGCTTGTATTTTTTTAAGTCCTGATCCCCCTGTTTGTCAGACTGTTTCATAAGTTGTATATTCTCAGAAAGATAAAGACAAAGATGTTTATCTAAATAGATATTTTCTTGCTAAGTCATCTTTTTTCCAATGTGTGTAATCCTTTTTGACTCTCCAATTTTGCAGGGATTGGGTCTGTTGATCAATCTTGTGGAATACAGTGCCCGGAACAGGCACTGCCTTGTCAATATGGAGACATCGTGTTCTTTTGACTCCTTGTGCACGGGCGAAGGAGACGAAAGCCTGAAGATAACTGGACAGATTGATGCTGTTCAGGCTTTAGTGCAGGTGAGGAGTGTTTGTCCTGCAGTAGTTCCCATTTCTCATTATCAGACTGTCAGGAGGAAGGGAGAATTCAGCAGTGAAAATGTGTCAGTTTTCTGTTTGGCATTTTGAGGAGTGGAGCAGGGTAGGGGAAGATTGCTGCTCACGACCCTGACTTCTGCAGTGCTGTCCATTACAGAAACAGCTTCCTGGAAAAGACAGTGCTTTACAGACATCCACTAAAACTCTTTTGTTCCTATATAGTTTATTTATAGTTTTATTGTTCCTAGATCATTTACTTTGACTTTTGTTTTAAACCAGCTGTAAGCTACTTTTCTCTTACATACTTCGCTTCCATAATTTTTTTTTAAGTGCCATGTTTTTGGGACTTTGCAACTTGAAATTAAAAACAAGATCATCCTTTATAAAAAGCGATAAAATACAGATGTAATGATTATGGATGTGAAACAGCATTCTTAAATTGACTGTAAACAAAAAGAAATCCACCAATAAAATGAAGAAATTTTTAAACATTATTAGAAAAAGGAAATCAACCAATAATTTTGGTAAATCAGTCTCACCATGCAAACTAAAATGAAAAAACTGAAAGGAAATCATGGATGTCTTGTTTCAATGGAGTTAATTTTATGGAAGCTTTTACCAGTTGTATTTAACTTTGTGAAATAACTGTCCAGTAGCAGACAAAAAAAATCAGTGAAAATAATAATATTAAATATCTTAATATATGTAGCTTGGCAAAGCAATATTTAAAACTGGTTGTATGGTATAGGAAATAATTAATGAGAAATAAGTGTCTAATATGGGATTCCTGGTTCATTCACATTCTTTGCTAAGTCATTTTAAATGACTCCCTCATGTTTTTGCTCTAAGAAAGCCAAGAGGGAATAGTTAGCATAAAAAGAAAAGGAAAATTGGTAGAGAACAAAAATGGACAGGAAATTATGGCAGCTTTTATTCTTCCTGCCATGTCTGAAGGAAAGTGATTAAACTTTTGGGATGCCCAAGAGGAGCCTGTCAGGCAGTTCAGCACCAGGCAGGGAGATCTTGCTGTGGAGCACAGTGCTGTTGTTGGGCCAGATTATGTTTTCCTTTGAGGGAGAAAAGCCTATTGTTAAAAAAAGTATTGAAGGCTAATTGTATTAAGGGGTAAATTGTGAACAGGAAATAAAAGTATCAAGTCAATGTGTTTGGGGTTAATTTCTAATGGAAATTCTCCTGGAATTCCCCACATCAGCTGTTCCTGGAGTGTGAGCGAGCAGCACAACTGGCTGAGAGCCAGACGGACGAGCTGATTAAAGAAGCTCCCACAGCTCAGCATGATAAGAGTGGGGAATGGCAGGAGACAAGTGGGGAGATCCAGTGGGTCTCCACAGAGAAGTCAGATGGCACTGAGGAGAAGGATAAGAAGGAGGAAGATGATGAAGAACTTGATCTTAATAAAGGTACGTTGTGTGGCTGTGATGAGCTCAGAAACAGTGTGATCACATAAAATCCCTCCTTGTCCTCTGCTTCCTCTCTACATCCAGTCTCTTGGGCTGAGATTTCCTCATTGTATCCCAGATGAACCTGCTGCATAAGTAGGAGTCAGGAAAAAAAATCCCCAGACCTTTTTGGGACACTCTTACATACAAAATATTCTGGAAAGGATGGCTTTTAGGCTGATACCTCATTCTTCTGGAACAGTCCTTGCAAGTTACCTGCCTTAATTTTGTTTCTCAGGGTTCTTGGTTCAAGCTGCTTTAAGAGTTGGGGTTTTTTCCCCTCCTCTCCCTATTTGCTTCTTCTGTCCCCCTCTACTTTGTGTCTGTCTTTTCCTTTGATCAGTGGTGTCTGAAGTGCCTGTGTAGTGCATTGATGTACTGCATCTTTGGTAGTTTGTTCCAGGAGTTTAAATATCTCTGACCTGTTAGATAGTTTGTTTTTGGAAAATGGATCTGAAGCATCATTCCTTCTTGTTTAATCTTCTAATAGTAGATGCAGTGTATGACTTTTAATAGTGTTTTCATCTTATGTTAATAGGTGTGGTATATTACCTTCTCCAAGCTTGCTTTATATCCTTCCTCATTCTTGTAGCTCCAAAATGCTGAATCATCAGCAGAAAATGTTATCCTTAACACAATAAGCTACTTTGGGGGAAGTTTTAGAGGCATATGGTATCACATGAAACATTTGGATTGGTAGTTAGGGGTGTTCAGCATACAGTTTGCACATTGAAATGGCAAATGACAAAATACTGTGCAGCAGAATGAGTTGAAACTGAATGAAGACCATTTTTCTTGTCAAGAATGTGCTGCTGAGTCAGTAAGTGTGGTGTTTCCTGATCTCTGAAATCTCAGTCCAAAAGCTCGTTTTGTTGGAGGAAAAAGCATTCTGGAAAGTGATAATGAGGGATTGTATTTGCAGCAGTAAAAGATACCAGCTGCTTAGAGAATACAATAGACTGTTGTCTCTTTTACAGCTCTTCAGCATGCTGGGAAGCACATGGAAGACTGCATTGTGGCCTCATACACAGCATTGCTTCTAGGCTGTCTCTGCCAGGAGAGTCCAGTAAGAGAATAAGTTGATCTTAAGTCCAGTATAATGTTTAATGAAGTGATAATTTGTATGGAAAGGGGTTTATTAAATTGGGCTTCAGTGTGAGCAATATGTTGGTGAAGCTACTCTGGTGTATACAGCTTTGGGAAGAGTTGCCAGAGTTATTCCAGCCCAAACAAATTTTTTGAACATCACCGTGTTTATCAAAACCAGTTGGAATTGAATATTTGACCTCTTTTACCTCTCTCCCCTTCCTTGTAGCCAGCAAAAGAATTTGCTTTGTAAAGGCAGAGGAAAATTGGCTAAGCCTGTTCCTTCTCAGTAGTTTTCGTAAGCAAGTTACCATCAGACTTGTTTATTCTTTATCAGTCTGCTTTAGTTATTTCTTCCATTGAAATCAGATGAACTTGTATATGTCCCTATTATAAAAATAATTGTCTTGGATTGGGAATATAGAATAGAAAGCTGAAGTTAAAAATATGGAGCTCCAATAGCTGAGAACTCAGTAAAGTCTCCTATCAAAAATGTGTTCACATGCAAATGAGTTCAGACCTGCCTTCAGGCTTGTCTGAATTTACCATGGTGCAGAAATGGCCTTTAAGGTGCTGTTCTGTGTCCTTGGACTGATCAGTGTCCAGAACAGTTTTAGTGTTCTGAGAGAGACTGACAATGAGATCAGTAATTCTCAGCCCTTCACAGTTGTAAAGGGAGAGCCTCTCCCTATCAGGGGAGTGATCTGGTGGCTTGATAATCTTGTAGGTCCTAGGAACATCTGATAGTCTGGTTTTGGGGGGTTTTTTAATTTTTTTTAAAACTTACACAAATCTTACACAAAATTTTATTAAATAATAAAATTTATTTAAGCAATTGTTTTCTAAAACCAGAAACAGTGAAGATAGGAGTATTGCTTAAAACAAACTTAAATCATAAAGATGGCAGCAGAAACAATCTTTATGCTGCGAATATACCTGTCTTAGTGCATCTCACATGCAGCTCATTATAGTTCTGTGTCAGAAAAATGTTTCCCAAATAAGACAAGATTGTTTTATTTCTTAGATCAATGTGACTACTGTGAGGGAGTACTTACCTGAAGGGGACTTCTCGATAATGACTGAAATGCTCAAAAAATTTCTCAGTTTTATGAACCTTACTGTAAGTAATCCATATTTCAAATTGATATTTGTAGATATTTTTATAGTTTTGTTTTCTGTTAATATTTCATGCCTTTTGAGAAGCATTAACATTTTTCAGTTTGTGTCTACATAAGAGCACAGGACAATACTCTGTTTTTTAATACTGAAAGGCCATTTGTCTGTCATAATTTTGTCTGTCATTATATTGTGATTGGCCAGGAAGATTTTTCTGAATTAGCTGTCTGAACCTAGTTGCTTTCACTGATGCATAACTGTAAATAGTAAAATCCTGAAAATAGAATAGCTCTCAGACAGTTGAAGGAGGTGCTACAAATGCTTGTTTGTTACTTGTGTTTTCTATTGCATTTCCAGTGTGCTGTTGGAACAACAGGCCAGAAATCTATCTCTAGGGTGATTGAATACTTGGAACACTGCTAGATACTTAACTTCCGCTGCAGGCACTCTAATGCTGGAGCTACCCTTAGACAAAAGAAGAAGTCATGAAAGAAGTCCTTGAAGGATATACCAAGAGCATTCATCTGTGTCATTCGTGTTCGGATTTTTAAGGCTACCTGGTCTCTTAACCATGCATTCAGCATTTTCTAAAAGACAGTTACTACATCAATCTGCAACTATCAAAAATGAGGGGGAAAAAGGTTCTGAGGAAAGTAAATAAAGAAACCTTGCTGTTTATGATGCAGTGCAGTATTTAAATATTTTTGGCAGGGTTTACCCTCCCTATCTTTTTTCTTGCTTTGTTCGTGACAAGTTTCAAGGGGAAAAACTTGCTGCTGATAGTGCAACTGCTGTTTACTGTTGAGCCACTGTTTCATGCCAGCCAGGTGCAAAGGCAGCTTAGCTACTGAGGTATCAAACAAATGTTCTAATAAAGAAGTTCTGGACAGCAGCACCGCTCCTATTTGAGTTTAATTTGCTCCTGCTTTTTTTATTACTAGATGATTCCAAAATCATAAAATATAAATTTTTAAATACTTTTGTGATTTTAACTACTGTCTATATTTAAAATTTGTTGGAATCCAAAGAGGCGAGGATTGGATAGTTTATTTTTTATACTGTTTTGATTGAAATTAGGTTGTTGAACTATTTCTCAGTTCTAAAACACCCATGGCCCACATACTGTAACCTGCTAGACCATAATGCTTTGTAGTTCTAAGAGCATGCAGACCCATAAACACATAAAGCCATTGAGGGTATGTTATCCACTAAAGGAATAGTGACTGTATAAAGTTGTGCCCTGTTAAAATGCAAATGAAATAAAGAAAGAAAAAAAGAAGGTTTAAAAAACACTCACTCGCAGGGTAGTTTACACTTCCGATAAGCAAAAACTTTGAAATGCTGTTTTAATTTGTTTCAAGGAAGAACTCAAGGTGTGTTTTATAATGTTGAATACAATGAATTTGGATGCTTTAGGGGGAATAATTTTAAAGAAGCTAAAACACCAATGGGGATTATTGTTTCTAGTTGACATAATCTTTCTATTTCATCCTTCTGTAGTATGACAGAGTTGAAATGCATACAACACAAAGCCTTAAACTGCTGATATAGCTAAGATGTTGTTCAGTCTGAGGTTTAGTTCACAGCAAAGCATTGTGTTTGAGGACTTAAGTGGAACAAAGAATCCCAGAAAATACATGACTTTTTAAACAATTTTTTTCTTGCACTCACTATTCAGACCAACAGAATTGATTATTAAGTATTTTTATTAAGGTGGTCTTGAATATTTGCAGACTGTTCTGCGATCTGCTTCATTGACATTTTTAAATACCTGTATAGGTACTTACATCATGTTACTCCATTGAATTTGTAAAACTTGAAGCCATAAAAATATTAGTTCTATGTATAATGAGGGGGAAATAACAGGAAATCTAACCTGCTTTTAGATCTTGTGTTATCTCCGTGTATAAAGTTAAGAACTTGTGCTTTTGTATCAGTGCCAGCTGTAAATTTTTTACATACAGTGGCTGCCTTCTATGTCTTCCTATTTTTGATAATGCAGATTGTTGGGAATTCTGTAAGGAAGTAACTGATTAACGGCAAAAATCTTACGTTGGTCATTTTTTTTTTTCATTTTCTCTCATCACCTTCTAAAACTTAGTGTATCAGTGTAACTTAGAAAAGTTTTTGAGGTTGTGTTCCCCTTCTTCAAAAAAAACCAAAACAGTACTGAGGGAGGGAAAAGGTACATGTAAATGATCTGCATCAGGAGAAAATTATTAAATATTTGGCCCATCTAGTTTTTGGATTTTAGAGATTTTCACATCTATAATGAGATTTCAAATTGGTTATGTAGTTTCATGTGGGGAGATGGCAAGAGAAAAGAAGATGCAAATATGATGATAGGGGAAAGCAGGGACAACTACCTTTCTTTGTTACACTGGTAATTGTTTGGGAATTGATTTACCTCAGTGTTTAACAGTTTTTTTTTAAATGTAACTAATTGTCAAGCACTGACAAATGCAGATTTTTTTTTTTGAGGGTGGGGGGAGAAATCACCCTGTGAACTGCAGTGCATTTTTGTGTGTTAGACCCTCAAATAACTCTGCATTAAAGGGTACTTGAGGTCAACTTGCAAATTAAAGTTTTAAAGTAACATTTTTTTCCATTGTAAATATTTGTGTAAATACTCTCAATTGGAAATTAGAACAGTAGAGTACTTTTCTGAATCCAATCCTATTTTTATTTTATACAGTATTTCTCAGCTGTGATCTTTGGAGCAAAAGCCAACGGCAGGAAAAATAGTTTGTACCAGTTTCATGAAGTATGTCTTTGGGTTTTTGTAAATAATTTTAACTCAAATAAAATTGCTACTTTCAATACATATCTTGTCTTTTAACATGCAATAAAACACTCCTCGGAGTGATTGCAGAAAGAAGGCAGTGTCAGGTAAATTGCTAAAAGAAAAAAAATGAAAAAAAAAAAGGATGAAAAAATGATAAAGGAGCATTCTGAACGTAGTGCTTTGCTTTTCACCTGTGTGTTGGGACAAAAAAATTCAGTTCCTGGAGCTGAGGCTATGGTCAGTCAAACCAGCCACGGCTGGAAAGCTGGAAGTTTTCTGGATTATGATGTATGGTGTCTCTTGATGCATTTTGGAGTTCTCTGCACAAGTTCATCTTTCAGTAACAACTCTGGAGAGCTGTAATCAGAATAACATAAATGTGATAGAGCATAGGGAAAATGGCACAGTTCTTATGGTGAGACTTTTCACATCATGGGGGGTGTTAAGTGAAAAGGGAGGAAATTGCCATGAATGTTGCTTTGTTTCTTGATTAACGTGAATGATGCTTTAATTTCAGGATGGATTTTTTCCCATGGATTTTTCCTTAATTGGTACAAGTAGCTATGGGTACAATATACAATAATTCATGAACTGTAACACGAGTTGAATGTGATGTGTCATCTCATTGCCACTTAGAAAAAGCAGCAGCATAATGTAACTTTTTCTGTGCTGTAAGGGAGTGGTACTGGAGCTTGAAACATGGAACAGTGTGTTAATAGTGTGTGGTGCTGTAAGAGCCAAATGCAGCTTTATGTAAGGAAATGTTTTAAAAAATTCTGCTAAGAGTATTTCCTCTTGTTTTGTCAGTAGTTACGTAATGAAAGCATTGTGTGGAATGCTTAGGGGTGACATCAGCATTTTCAGATTAACAGGATAATTGTGAAGCTTCTACAGAAGATTTGGGAGTCAAAGCCTTTCTCATAAATTATTTCCTTTTCAATCTGTTTTGAAGTGCTTGGTTTGCATAGGAGAAAATGATGTGGTCTGATGGCTATGGCACTGATTTGTCTCATATTTCTTTTCTGGGCATCACTAAGCAGAAGCCAGAGTATACTTGGTTAGCTGGGGCTATAACCAGGCAAGCCCACATATCTTTTCCAGTAAAGTTTCTTTTGATGAATGTGATACTTTTCTAGTTTAAAAGGTATGGAAAACCAAAAATGTGAATTTGACTTCAAAAGATAAAGAGGATTTAGGTAACTGCCATTCTTCTGAATCAAGCCTGCCCTTATTGGATGGCCTGTTAATTGGGTTTTTGAAGATAATGAGATTGGAATTTACCCTGAATTCCACTAGTCAAGTGTTTTCAAAACCAGGCCACTGCAATTTTTGATACTGCTGCTTCTCTTCCTCTGTATAATATGTTAATTTGTCTTTGGAAAAAGGACACTACTAGCTTCTTTCAGCTGTGTGGAACAGAAGCCTTTCATACATAGTCTTTTTTACTTGCCCTAAAGATCCCCTAAGGGATTGTAATTTATGAAGATGTTTGCAGCATCAGTAGGTTCAGATAGTCTTCCTGTAAATAAAAATGAAACCATGATAAATAATGCAACTGCAACGAGTCCTTACCCAAGGTCGATTTGTTTGCTAATGCCACAGGATCTTTATTCCAGTTGTGCAGACTGAACTGAATTTGCAGCTGCAGGTTGTGCCCCAAGTAGCCACGCTCAGTAGGAGATACCTGTGTGAGACAGCAGCACTCTGGTGATGCACAGGGGGCTGCAAGGAGCCCTGGGGGCTGTAAGGAGCTCTGAGGAGCCTTGCTGGGAGAAAAGGAAGCTGCTCTGGACAGAGCCTGACAGAGCCAGACGTGTCACATCCATCACCTACTGCCTTCAGACCGTATCTCCACATCTCCTGACCTGCAACTTCAGTTCATCACTTTGGAGAGGTAAATGCCAAAGACTTTGTCTCCATGTGTGCAAAGCCACATTGGTAAATAATGAAGAGTTGTGCAGGTAGTAGTACCTATTTCCAGAATTCTGGTCTGAGGTGGACCAAAGTTACTTAAATGCAAGTTCATTGAACTTCTGCAGAGTACAATCAGGTGGTATCTAAAAGGAGACTGCTTAGAGTAATAGAAAAAATAACAGGAATTGTATTAGATACACTGCTTAGTGTAGGAATCCTTTATATCTTCTGTATTATAACAGAAGATTTAGTTGTGTCTCTGCATTTGGTTTTTTAAAGGTTGGGAGGAAGATTGTTAACCTGGGGTGTGAAGTGGATGGAATGATGTCATTCCAGCTGTAAAGCTGACCCTGTGATTATGTCCTAGAACAACAGTTATTTTGTTTCTTGCTGTTTCCAGTACATAAGGCATGCAAACCAAGGGGAAAGGCATTACTGCAAAAGTTTGAAGTGAGAAAGGGAAGGAAGGAGTTAATTTTGTCAAATGATACCATTCAGGAGCCTTGCAGACACCTTACCTCTGGGAATGATGTTGAAGTTGTGGAAGTGTGGGGTTTTGTTCATGGATGTTTTGTTGGCCTCTTACCCAAACGCGTCTCTTGAAAGCATTTCTGGGGCAAAAAGTTTTAAAATGCCCAGGCCAACTTGTTTTCTGATCTAGTGTTAAATTTATAGTCTGAATTGAATTGAAGTACAAACCATGAGCAAGTCTTGGAGTAAGATCACTTTGTGTCACAGCTCTGTGCAAAGGCATGGATTTGGGTTCAAAAGCTTGATGTTCAGGTTACTAAGCCTTAAAAAGCAGTTCAGTAATGTGTTATATAAAACTGCTGTGTAACATCTGGTGTCATTTTGCTGGCTCATATTTTAAATTTTTGTCTTCATTTGACAAGGAATTTTAAAGCTATCTTACCCAAATTAAAAATATCTAGGTTGAAGTGCTATTATGAAATTATACTTTGACAGCAGAAATTGAACATGGTAAATTAAATAGAAGTGATACAATTATTGTTTGTAGTCTCCTCGTCCCTAACTATTTTTAAAACCTGGCTATAAATTTTTAATAAGGAAATTCTTTTTAGTGGAAAAATCTGATTGAAATTTGTGTGCTGAGTATATTCATGCATCTGAAATATCTCATTTCAGAATGGACCTTCATATTGCAAAACAATGGGGGTTTTGTGATACCTTAGATTACAGTGAGAACTTTACTGAGGCTTTTGTGAAAATAAATTTGTAGCTATTTTAGTCCAGATAATCATACAAGTTCCCTCTTATTTAATGTAGGTTCTAACGGTTATTCAATTATAATTTCGAATGTGAGACAAAAGCAAACATACACAACTTCACATCATTTAAGTATCCACATAGACTATAAATTGAAATTGCTGGGGAAAACCAGTAATCTAGAATGATTTGTTAGTCTATTATACATCCCATCTAGGACTGTAAAAAAAACAAACCCATACCTAAAATAATTCTGTTGAGAGAACTAAACTTTGATGCTCCTCACAAGAAGAGACAAGTACGCATCTATCCAGGTGTTGTTATACAACGTTAAGAGGTTTATACAAACATGAACTGTATGTTAATTTTATGCAATACTTGTGATTAGCCTTCAGAAGTTCTCAGGAGAACTGGTTTGTGACTTTGTGCTGTTTGATACATGATACAGCTTCAGCTTTTTTTAAATCTGAGAATGCCACAGGATCTATGTGCTTTGGTTTCTGAACTTTGCTACCTTGGACCAAGTGAAGCAGCTCTTGAACCACTGGTGTCTGTTGGAACCTTGGGTACAGGGAATATTCCTCTGTCAGGAGCTTTCCACAGATGTCTACACAATCCCACCCTTCTCTGTGGATTTTACCTGGTCACCATTTTCAAAATGCTCAATTCAAAGCCTGCCGAGCTCAGTCAGTCCTGCATTGTGGTGATGGTCTTTAAAGCTGAGACCAGTACCTTATTCTGTGAGAAAACCTCAGCAAATGCTGAGTTCTCAGCAGGACCCAGAGTGCTCTTGTGTCAGTGAGACCCAGGGAGCAGGGGCACAGTGCCAAACCCATGGCTGGGGCTGGCGTGTGCCCAAGGCTTTGCTCAGGTCCCTGGGAGCGGCTGTCCCAGCTCGGGCTGTTCACAAAGGAGTCTGAACTGGGATGGGGGAGGGCACCTGCTGAGGCTGTTTCTGCACCAGATCTTGCTGATACCAGAACTCCCCCATTTTTCCCAGGCTGGGTGCTGAGCCATTGTATCTCATCCAATGAGAGCAGCACATGGCACCATTGCAATGCACTTTCTCTCCTAGGTCTAAGGAAGAAAACACATGCGTGAAGATTCCAGAAATTACAGAGTCAAAGGCCAGAAGGAGTTTGTGTGAGCCCAGATTTCACTAACTACTGTCATATGTGAGACTCTACTTAGACTTTGTCAGTGTGTGGTTTGACTTGCCAAATCTCTTCAAGTGGTAGAGGTCATCTTCCTTTCAAACAGCATTTTAGGCAGATGCAAGACAAGGATATCTGAAAGAGCAGGAATCTTCAGTACATTGTAGTTGCTGTTTTAATTGATGAAGTTTCCACAACACCAATAAATGTCTAATTATTTCAGGAGCTTATGGAATTTTTGATGTCCTGGAGATAAATTAAGAATTTTAAAGATTCAGACTTGTAAAAGACAATGATGTTTCAGTGATAGCATCCTAAAAAGTTGTCATCTGCCTGAAACCAGCAGTGGGGAAGGAAAATAAATACCCTTGGTTAACAAACTTTCCCTGGAGATGAAGTCAGACACATAGAGGTCTGATGGGATGAAGAACAACCACCATGCGAGTTAGGATATCTGAAGCTGGATCAACAACTGGGCCTGGATTGTGGTTACACAGCACTCCTTGTTCTGAAGCTTTAAGTATTTTTTGGAAGAGCCAGGTGATGCTGAGGGCTCTGAGGGTCTCCAGATGGGTGAGCAATTAGTCCATGAGTGTTGTGCTTCCCAGATCATACTCCAGGAGTACTACATGCTGTCTAGGATTAGGTTGCAGAGCATATCACCTACAAGCAGGTGCCTTGGAGATTCCATACACTGCTGAACCAGAAGCAACTTCTTGCAGCATTGAGAACTTGGCAGGATAA